CTTTCTTTCTTTCTTTCTTTCTTTCTTTCTTTCTTTCTCTCTTTCTCTTTCTCTTTCTCTTTCTCTTTCTCTTTCTCTTTCTCTTTCTCTTTCTCTTTCTTATTAACTAGTAGTTTCCCATGAGAAAAACTATGGGTTCTTCCCAGGAAGGGCAGGAAAGGTAGGAAAGAATGAAAGAGACTGTGTATCAGTGGGGTTTGGGTCAAATATTTTTGGCACTGCTTTGGAACGTACCCAAATGTGCCCAGCCTGGTTCTCCTCAAAGAAAAACAATTTCTTAACTATGGCAAAGTTTCCTAAGGGGTGATAACTTTACTCTATATTCTCTCTCTCTCTCTCTCTCTCTCTCTCTTTGTCTAGACTGGCACAGTTTGGCAGTGATCTCTCTCCCCTAGCCAATCTCCTTTCCTCTAGAGACAAACAGGCCCTGAGCCTTTGGTCTGGCTTTGGTGGTTATTAACAGCACTGTCCCTTTCCCATTCTTTCTTAAGCTTTCATGACAGTGTGTTCAGGGTATCACTCACCCTCAGAAAAGTAGGGATTCAACTCAGGAAACCCACAGGGCTAAAAGAGGTACATGGTCCCCTGGTCAGGGGACCTTTCAGCCTCTACTATGTGTTGTATCCTGAGAGTCTGGTTAGCTTGTGGTTCAGATTCAGGAGCTCTGGGGATTGGGTAGGAGAACAAGGTTCCAGAGTTTTAGGAAGTTTGCCATTGTGGTTGACTGTGAACCACCTTGGACAGCATGACCTATATGGTTCCCAGACATGTCTGTGGACAGGAACCGTTGGAGTATAACTCCAATGCTGGTGACTGAAAAATAGCTACCACTGTCTGTGTGGCATCCTGTGAAAGAACAACTATTTCGCCTCCAAAGCAGAAGCAACAGGATCTTTCCCCCATTGCTTACATTTGCTTCTGCTTGCAGAATATAGTGTGCCACCGTAAACCCCTTTAGATACCAGAGCACTATAACATCACAGATAAGGAAACTGAGGCCAAGAGGTTACTGGATTGGTCATTGTCATCTGGCATGTTGCCAGCAGAGCCGAGCCTGGAACTCCACTGGGCCTCTAGTGCAGCTGGTATGAGTCCCATGCATGAAGCTAGGATGGACAGCTGCCATGTCCACTGGCCTTGAGCTCCTACACTGCTCTGTTTCCCTCTTCCTCATATGGAATGTAGACACAGGATAGGAATGTGGCCATGGGGGACAGTGACAGTGCACATGGGCCAGCATGTTCTATTTTTATCTCTTTGGTTGCTTGATGTTTAGCAGCTGTAGAAGGTAAAGGTTACTTTTGTTCTTATCACATAGTGAGTGCAGACAGGATGCTGCCAACAGGAGACCTTGGCCTTCCCGCCACATGATGACCCCGGAGAGTGAGCAACTGCACAAAGAACAGCGGGGGTGGAGAGAACTGTAGACTCTGAGCTGCAGATTTTGGTTCTAGAACCAGATGTCTTTCAGTGTTGTCTTGAGTAATGTAATCCCCTTATATGAGTGAGGTCGCGTAGCTAATGCTGATTATTTTTGGAATTTCTCTATTGCCTTGGCGCAGGCAGACATTCAGTGACTAAGCCACAGTGCTGACGATGCTCATTGAGGAAAATGGCTGTACCTAACGGCAGAGGCTGTTGCTAAGATTTCAAGTGCCAGATGAAAAGGCTCTTACAACAGGGCTGGGATTTGGCAAACTTAGGTGATGGCAGTTGCCATGTCCCTGATTCTTAACATAGCTCTACTAGAAGGTACCCAGTCTGGGATGTTAAGAGGTCCATGTGACCCCAGAGGGATTGGAAAGGTCACGAGTGATGAGATCACCTTGAAACAAGATGGAAACACCTAGAACACTTCGTTGGGCCCAAGTCGTGGTGTGGATCTATAGGTCGGGGAGCTGGGGGACCACTTGCCTGGTAATTGAAGCTTCATAGTGACCATTGCCTCAGCTGGGTGTGTATTTTAACACCCAAGCCTGGAAGAGAGCAAGGCCCAGAGTTTGAGGTCCTAATTAGTTATTCTGGGACTTCTCTGTCTCGCCAGGTGCTGTATAAATATTACTTACATTGTGTTCTTTTCTTTCATCACAGAACAGCAAAAACGACTCAGTAGTCTTTCAGGTAGGTGAGCAATCTATTTATTTACCTGCTAACTTCCAATCCTGTCCAAGCTGGTATCCAGTCAACACAGCCTTCTGACTTTCCCTCTGTGTTGATTGATGGACCGCAGGGATAATGAAAACAGGAATAGCTTCTATGTCCTGGAGCAGACAGACCCATGAACCACAGTGTAAACATGCCTTGTGGAACTGTAGCATGTACCCAGGTGGTCAGACCATACTGTCTGTGCACAGACCAAAGGGGCTTTGTTGAGGCAGACTCGTGGAAGGCCGCTGAAGAGAACCCTGTTGCTCTGTCTCTCTCCATGGTTGAAATGAATCAGGGGTTGGGAAATGTGGAAAGTTCCTCTCCTTTTTCCCCACAAAGAACAAACTGCCAGTAGATGGATGACCTTGAGTAACAGGTCTAAGTGAGTGTCCCAAGACCCACACAGTGCTTGAAGCTGCCCCTTGAACTTGAACTGACGTCAGAATCTCCTGGAAAGCTTGTTGAGACTCATTTCAAGAGAGTCAGATTTAATGGATGAGGGTGGCGTTTTGGGTCCCTAGCAGCTGATGCTTCCTTCCTTGCTGACCACACCTTTAGGTAGAGAGTAATTGCCAAGGTCTGTGATGGTAGAGTGACCACAAATATAATCAGTTGTCAGGGCTCACTCCCAAGAAGATATGCAAGATGAGACAGCACTGGGCTGGGGAGGGCTGATATCCTGGGGAAACCCAGGGAAGGAAATATTCAGCCATTCCCTGCTGCTTCCAACCCCAGTTTTCATACTTTAATTCTTTTTTGTGAAGCAAGAAAGTGTTGTGAGACTCATAGGAGATTCTGCTAATGAGTGGCTGTGCCCTAAGCTCTGTGTTAAGGGCTAAGGGAGGCTCCATTGTCTTCGGATGCTTGCATTGACTATGGTCTATTACTGAGTTCTACCCTTGTGCCTGGTGCAGAGTCAGCCCCTGGGGCTGCAGAAGGGAGCTGTGCTGCCTATCAGTAGTTAGTGGTGTGGCATGATGGCTTGCTACTGTTGTGTGGTTGTGGGCTCCTTGGGAGATCATATGAAGGCAGTTGCTTCACTCTCCAGACAAAGCCAGTGTGTACACAGGGCACATGGAACAGAGGCTTGTGTGCTCCAGCATTAAGAACCCCTGATCCAGTGAGTAACCGAAGACACCAGTTTTTAAGCAGCTGCTACATGGTTTCTGCATGACTTTAGCATACCACTGCCCTTGTGATTTGGGCAGAGCCTGGATAGGGAGGACATGGGGTTCTCACACCCTCTCAATTTATCAGGACTTGGCAACAGGACCAGGAAAGGCTATGGTTAAGCTCAGGGTGCCCTTCACAGCCTTTCCATGAACCATTAGGCTCTAGCTCACTTCAGTCCATTGGCCAGCCCAGGTGGCCTTGGGTAAGGGGAACACACACACACACACACACACACACACACACACACACACACACACACACGGGGGGGGGTGGGAGTAGAGGAAGGTGAAGGAGACATTTTCTCTCGCCTTTGATAGCTTGAAAAGATTGGAAAAATTGATAAAATTGATGTTAGGCGATCCAGAGTTTAGTTTTTGTCTCCCCTTATAGGACTGTTTGTCCCTAGATAAGTGACTTCATTTCCCTTACCATAGTTTCCTCATGCGGGAAACGGGGTGCTAACTCTTGGTCCTGTGGGGTGCCAGTTCTTGACCCTGCCTGCAGGTGCTGTTTTGTATTGCTGAAGTGAGGGGGTTGCCCACACTGGGAAGAGCCTGCTCATGGACAGGCTTCTCCACTGCGCAGGCAGGCTTAGTGTATAACATCCTTGCACTCCTTGAGTTTGAGATCACAGAGTCCAGGAGCTTCCCAGAGTGGCACTCTCTAGCCTCTGCTTTAGGGCAAGTGAGTATACATCCCTCACCTATAGGTATGAGACTGGATGACTGCCAGCCTCCTTCCCTTCAGCACAGTCATAGAACACTTTTGTAGGGCTTAGCACTCAATGAGAGTGTTAGGCTTTCCACTGCCTAACACCTGGCGGAACCTGGCCGAACAGCTTAAGGTAGGAAAGTTGTTTGCTTGTGGTTTTAGGGGATTTAGTCTGTCACGGCAGGGAGGGCCTGGTGGAGTTGTTCATACCCTGTTGAACAGGAAGCAGCAAGAAGGAACAGGAAGGGGCCAGGACAAAATAATGGCCCAGTAATATGTTTCCCTCAGCAGGCTTCAGCTTCCATGACCTTTCAGTGGTAAATCTTGAGTTCATGGATGGATTAAACCATTGACTGATAGGGCAGAGTCTTCATAATTTAATCATCTCTGACCATCCCCTCATTGACATATCTAGGGATAATGTTTTACTAACAACCGAGGTATTTCTTAGTCTGTCAAGTAGACAGTATAAACAAACCATCCTGGAGCCTTTGTATTTTTGGCCTTGTGTCAGTCCCCTTGATAAAATAGTGTAGGGACTGACAAAGGATGTAGAGAGACCACTGTCCTTCCCCCTTGGAAATGTAGTCATTGCTTTAGACTGTCACAAAGCTTTGGATATAGAGGAAATCTGCCCCACCTCCTCCTGAGAGAGACCCCCTTTTGAGGTTGCCATTATCATTTGTTTAGTGATTCAAGGCTTAAAAAAAGATTTATTTATTTTTACTTTACATGCCTGAGTGTTTGCATGCCTGGATGTATGAGTGCTGTGTGTGTGTGATGCCCATGGAGGCTAAAATACATCAATGAGTTTATTAGAACTGGAGTTAAGGGTGGTTGTGAGCCACCATGTGGGTGCTGGGTTCTCTAAGCAGCAAGAACTCTTAGCCACTGAGCCATCTGTCTATCCCCCAACTTAAGACCTTTTGATACACACTAGAAAGAAAAACCCCAGACCATGACATAAAGGATCAGAAGATGTAATGAATGGAATAGTCCAGTGTCACTTTAGGTTTTTATCCAATCAAGTAACATTTCTTTTTTGGGGTCTGAGCCCTGTATGTACCAGAATCTTATGATGTTAAGCTTCTAAAGTTTTTTTAAAAAAGGGGGTGGATGGGGCTGATTTTTATAGACCAAAGTAACTGGGGGAGAAAAAACAAAACAAAACAACTATGGACTAAGTGTTGCAATTGTTGGAACTACTTGCTCTAATATATATTTTTTAAATGAATTACTTGCCCAGAAACATTGGACACATTTATGGTCATCATCTCATGATGTCTACATACCAAGCAAAGTGGTGTTTAGAATTAGCTCACTGGGTCCCTTTTTGGTGTCACTTGAGGAAGGCCTTCCAGCTAGGAAGAGAATATTCAGATGCCCAAGAGTAGACTGGTAGCTCAGAACCCTCTTGCATTCTGAGTTTTCTGAAAGATCTTTGGGCTCATGTTGGAATTTCCTCAGAAATCCTGGGGAGGCAGCCTAACCCCCCCTCGTTGGGGGTTTGTGGTGATGATAGGGATTGGATTTTCTGAAGCCCTCTCTAGGTTCACAGGGACATTTAGAAACCACCCACCCTCATAAATAGAGCAAAGCTTTGAGAAGCTTGTTTGAAATCAGGGCAGAGTGACCTTGTTGAATAGACTGAATGTTATAAAACCTGAGCATGCAGCCTTCACTGTTCCTCATCCCCTCAGCCACTCCTTCACACCTCTGACTGTGTCACAGCTTTGCATGGAACCCCAGATTCCTGCCAAAGTACGTTGCCTAGCCAGCACTTTGTACTTCTTCTCAGTCAGGGAGTAATTATTCATTGCTGAAAGGTTGGGGGAGAGGCATGTTTCATTCTTCACTGGTAAGACTTCAGGCTCCCTTGGCTTAAGCCCTTTTGCCCTCCTCTGACCCTCAGTTACCATCTGACACACTCCTTCCTCTGGGTTCACCTCTACTCCTTTTTCACACATATATCTCTTTCTCTGCAATCTGATGCTTGTCCCTGTTGCCCTCCTACTGCTCAGACTGTTTTTATCCCTTTCCTGTTGCTCAGGTGACTCCCCCATAGGCTGGGGATTCTCTGCTTCTCTGCTTGTTTCTTTGGCATCCTGCAGTGTGCGGCTTCAGCCCTTGGCTCTGCTCTCACTTCCTTCTTCTGTCGAGATGTGCCATCACTCTGGTGCTGGTGGCTGCAAAGCTGCTTCCTGCCAAGGCATCTCAGCTGGGCCTTGCAGCATCTCCTTCTTGTCTTATCGAAGACTTAACGGAATGCCAGGCACATAATTAAGTCAGAGTAGTGCAAGGTGGCACATAGTTGATGCTGCTGCTCCTTATGCCAGGAACATCCTCCACTTTCTTTTCATCTGGTTGGCTCCTCTCAGACAAGTTGGCACTGGACCTAAATTCTGCAGCTAAGGCTGGGTGCTGACTTCTCTGCTGGCCCTCGCTACTCTGGCCCACTAGAGTTAGAAGCCCCCTGAAGCCTAAGGATCTGAGAGATTCACCTGCAGAACAGTAGCATAGCACCTGGCAGGGCTTAGGGAATGGATGGTTTGGTGTAGAAAAACAGACAGCATCTACAAAATCTATGTGATCTGTACACCACATCTGGTATGTCTGTTTACTCTCCAAGCACCCAGCAATATTTAGCTTTCTGAGCACTTTGGCTTACATTTCTGTGAGCTTGCTGATGTGAATGTCATTCCCATATTTTTGAATGAGAAAATTAAGGCATGGGAAAGTTAAGTAAGGAGAGTTCAAAGCTTCCCAAGATGAAAAAGGAACTTTCCAGTAATGCTTTACCACCTCTTTAAGGTTTTACCTGCTTCCTTTCCTTTCCAGCTGTCTACAGAAAAATGTTCAGACCCCTGCACACTGCTCTTAAAGAGCCAGATAACAAGTATTTGATGCTCTGCAACTCAAGTGGTCACAGCTTACTCAGCTCAGCCATGGTAACCGAAAAGCATCCATAAATAATGCGTGGACAAACCATGATGGCTGTGTTCCAGTAAAATTTTACTTATAAAAGCAGGTGTCCTCCAAGGGGCTGGACTCTGCTGACCCTTGCTCTACGTAGGGTTAGTTCCAATACGAAGTTAGCAAACGCCCCTTTCTCCTAGCTGGATTGCTGGAGAGGTTTTTGCTTTGGAGTTTCAGCTTGTGATTGCTTTTCATTTCCAGATCCTGCCTCAGAGAGAAGAGTTGGTGAGCAGGACTCAGTGCCAACCCCAGCAGAACTCACTTCGCCCAGCAGGGCTGCTGAAAGGAGAGCAAAGGATGACGGCAGGCGGGTGGTGAAGAGCGCACAGGACCTGAGCAATGTGTCTATGGATGAAGTGGGCATTCCACTCCGGGTATGAAGGTGGACCTTTGTGTCCTCTCTGGGCTTCCGCTTAAACGAGTGTTGGCAAGCGTGTGGCCTTGGGTGTGGTGTGGTATGTGTGTGTGTTCCCTCTTGGAGTCACAGTGGCTTAGAGGGGAGGCTTTTCTCTCTGACACCAGCACAAACCACACCCTGATGAGTGTATCCAGACTTCTCCAAAGTAGGTGTAGGGTATTAATCAGTCTCAAGAAAAAAGGCACATTTGGGTGGAGCAGAGTTGAGGAACTTTTCTGTAGCAGAACAGTTGATGGGCTTGGGCTATACATGCTCCACGGGCAAGGCTGTCCCTGAGCCCTGGAGTCCACTCAGCATTTCTTGCTCCCAGAGTTAGGGACATTGACAGGAAAAGGGAGGCTGTGATTGGAGGTCAGGAAGAAGATCCTTGCACGAGAGTTACCTCATCATCCAAAGAAACCAGGACAAGGCAGTCAGGCAAAGGAAGCCCTCCAAGGCCTTCAGGACCAACAGGCCTCTTCCTGAGTGCAGGTCTGCCAGTGCTCCCGAAGACCCTAAGGAGCTCAGGGAAACCTACTTTCTGCAGCTTCCCACTCCTCTCTGTGTGTCCTCCAGGCCACTAGCTGCAGTATGTGTCTTTGGTTTCCATTGGGAAAGCGGACAATTTTTAACGTTCTTTTAGAGGGTAGATAGAAACAGGAGTAGGATAAGCCTCTGAAGAACTCAGCTTCAGTCCTTTGTAATAATAGAGAACTGTTACCAAGAGTGATTGCAGCTACCCATGCTGGACATGACCTCCATTGCCACTTGAGCAATGAAAGCAATTATCATTTTCATGGGTTGCTGCATCGGGTAGCTTGAAATATGAAAATGTGCTGTTATGAACACTCAGCACAGGCTGCTTATGAAGGAAGGAGAGGCTTATTTGGGCTCATGGTTATGGAGATTTGAGTCCAAAATTGAAGCACCTGCTCTTCAGGGGCCTCTGGCAAGGGTGGCACATCCTGGCAATAGTGTCCATCAAGGCAAGTGCTCACACAGTATGCTGGGGAGCAGAGAGAATGGGTGGGTGGCACCCCAAGTTTCAGTGGATAAGTCATTCCCAGTGATCTAAGGACCTCCCACTAGCTCCCACCTCCTGTGGGTCCACAGCGCCTCTCAGGGCTGCCCCCTGGGAGACCAGCCGTTAACTACGGAGAACATGTGTTCAAACAGCATTGGAAAGGTACTGGCTATGAGCGGGTCACGTCACTCTGCCAAGATCTCAGTGTGTGGGTGATAGAGTGTCTCCAACTGTTGTGTTAGTTGGACCTTCTACTTTTTGATACCTTGGATAATGCACTTTGGCTTTTTCCATTTAATTTCCTCATCTGTTAAATGGGAGTGATGCCATCTTACCTTGCCTCATTGATTTTTTATCTTTGAAAAGAGTCCTAGCTCCAGGTGAACAAGCCAGGTGAGCAAGAAAGCTCTGGAATTGGGTGCCATACAGGTTCCAGTTAAATGCATGTGTTCTAAACTTGGCTTTGTGCAAGGTGACTTATATACCTTTGTACAGAATAATCCAGTAGGGAGGGGTAGGGATAGTTTGTGGTAAGTAAGGATTTATTGCCTTGTGATTCTGGGAGGGCTTTTCTTCAGTTTCCTGAAACTTATGTGTGGAGAGAGATTGTCTCTAAGAATGAAATTTTAAGAAAGAATGGACACAGAGCTAGAGAGAGAGATGGCTCAGTGATTAAGAGCACTTTCTGCCCTTGCAGAGAACTCAACACAGACATGGCTGGTTCTGGTGGCATCTGCTGACCTCCACTGACAGTGCATGCACATGGCGCACATAAACAAACGCAGACCAGCCATTCCTACACATAAATTAAAAATAAGTACACCTTTTTAAAAGGAAGCATAGGCATATTTCAAACTTGCCTTCGTCTGTTACATCCTTAGGCCAAATCTCGTATTTCAGAAATCATATTGGAATCTCTTATTATGACTCTGCTTTCTCAAAAGTTTTGTCTTTAAAAAGATCTTAATACTGTGGCTAGGGATGTGTGTGGTAGAGAATTTGCCTATCCTGTGCAAGGCCCAGGGATCTATTCTAGTATCTCCTTGTTGATTTTGATTTTGTGATGGTAGGCATTCTGAAATGTGCTCCATTTTTCATTGTTCTAACCCTTTGCTTGTGTGTTTTGTTTTGTTTTGTTTTGTTTTGTTTTGTTTTGTTTTGTTTTGTTTTTCTCTCCAGAATACCGAGAGATCGAAAGACTGGTACAAAACCATGTTTAAACAGATCCACAAGCTGAACAGAGGTACCAGTTTTCATTTGTAGAAGCCGTGTGATGCTGTGGGGATTTTTTGACTTGGTTGGGGGCCTGTGCTCTGTTCATTTGGACGGCAGGAGCTGGGCTCCAACAGTTGGATGACATTAGGTACCGGCCTGCCTGGTTCTAGCCATGTGCTTTCAGAGCTCAGGTAGGAGGGTTGCACCTGTGCCTCAGCTTTGAAACTTGAGGTCAGCTTGCTCTCCTCCCTCCCAGCGCCTATGCAGTGCAGGAGGCTGAGCCTTGCACCCCACCTGTGCTTCCACACCTCTCTGCCTGAGGGACAGACAGCTCCATCTCCCACCCGCTTCCAGCTTTAGGTATCCCTTGTGTCAGCCCATGACTGCCTTGTGAGAAGATCAAGTTGAGCAAAGCCCTGAACTGGGAGTTAAGAGAACTATTCTCCCCTGGAGAACAGCCTCTGTACACTTGTGTGCCCTTAGGTGGATCTTCCTGTGTCTGTCCTGCTTCCAGTCCTCTGAAGGATGTTGTGGGTGTCCAAATGGGAACACACTTGGCCTTGTGAAGAGCAGTGCACTGTGCATCTCTGAGGCTAGCCTAGTGTGCAAAGTAAGCTTCCCCAGCTGGGAACCAGAGCTTGGCCGGTAGAGAATCAGTCACGAGCTGACACACCAGAGCTGCTCCAGTTGAAAGAGGTGCTTATAGATCAAGGGCCCCCCTGGGTTTTCAGGGAGCGAGCCAGCATGATGGCAGAACCCCAGGCTAGCGCTTTGGCAGGTCACAGTCCTACCAGCTTAGCTCCCATTGCTGCCTGTGCTGCCAGTCAATTGACAGGCAGGGATGTCGCTGCACGAGGGGAAGGGTGCTGCTCTTCCTGAGAGCAGAGCATCCTGTCTTTCTTTGTGCCCAAATCCAGTCTGGCTGCCTGCCATGAAATACACCAAAGAAATAGCATTCTGGTCAGTGTTCCCACCTGAGTCACAATCTCCAGTCTCTCTGCTTAGCTGTGTATGCTAGACAACATCACTGTTAATTAGCTTCTGCTGGGCTCGGAATGATCCACTCTGTGTTTAGCATCTCTGAGTCAGGAGTAATTTGCTAAGGTCGAGTGGATAAGCTCCATCATTGTGGTGCTAAAGGCCTGGGTCTCCTTAGTAAGGTCACTGCCCATTTCTTCTAGCCATCTGTCTCCCCCCACCTTCAGACCTGGCTTTGGAAGGCTAAATGCAGGGATGAATGCATGCATATGCACAGAGCATGTCATTCTGCTCCAAGGCACCAGTGGTCTTCTTGTGTTCTAGTTATTAACTCAACTAAATCACAGATTCTGAATAAAAACTGCCTGCTCTAGTAGGGCAGAGGCACCCGAAAAACCTAAGACTCACTTGTTTGCCTTGATTCTAATATGCACAAAACAGCCTTTTATTTGAAGGGGAAAAATCACTTTAGGATAGTGTTCTCATTTACTGTATTTCATATCTCTGACCTAAAAAAAAAACAACTGTGAAATTTGAAACTGTGTGTTAAGTGCTTGTTGTCCACTGGAGCCAGCTTCTTGAGGTGTCTTAATTCAGGCAAAAGGACTGGATTTTAAATTCTTTCATATCATTAGTGAACCCTATTGTGTCCCAGAATTCAAAGGAGCATAAATTGTGTATGGATTCCTACTCGTTCATTTTCTCCATTTGTATCTTCCTCTGTTCTCTCTTTCTCTCTCAAATCTGTTCCTTTGCCTAGACACTCCTGAAGAAAACCCTTATTTCCCTACGTACAAATTCCCTGAACTTCCTGAAATCCTGCAAAATTCTGAAGGTACCATAAGTTTAGACAGTGCATCTGTTGTCATAGCCTTAAATTAGTTCTTAGAGTTCTATTATAGGCGTACTATTTGGCTTTTAGATTTTCTTTTTTAATAGTCATTTTCAGCCAGTGAGCATTTTTCTTTTACTCATTTGCATGGTGTGCTATATTAAAATAATCTAAGCTCTTTCTAATTCACTAATCTAAGTGTGATGCCTGTGTGCTTTAATAACACTAAAATGGATAATCATCGGCAAGTGTCATCCGGGGGTTAATGGTTTCCTCCACTTCATGGTGGACAGCTTCAAACCCACTGCTTTTCTCTGCTGCAGAGGACAACCCTTACACTCCTACCTACCAGTTTCCTGCATCTACTCCTAGTCCTAAGTCTGAAGGTAATTACAGGGAAATCGTGTGCCTGGCTCTGAACTGGTGCTCTTACTTCCGTCTCACCTTGGAGTTTTCGCCAGCAGCGAAGGAAAGTGTCCTCATCCTTTGCATCTCTTTAACCTTTTGTTCTGTGAAATTGTCCCAGTCCCTGCTGGCTGACTCTCCACGGGGCATTGTAATCCCTGCCCCTGCAGGGTTTACATGGCTTAAGGGGTAGTCTTTACATATTACTTATGCTCTGGAGATGGGGCTCTGGGAGAAGCTGCTTGTTGATACTGCCCACGGCCTGGGATCTCAGGTGTCCCCTAGTGGACTGGTGGCTGAGGAGGGACACCTGCCAGCTTTCAACAATAGAAGCTTACAGGTTCCCTACCTAATGGTCACTGGGCCCCTCAGGTCATGGGTCTTCAGGGTGTCTCATTTTGATTGGGAATTTCTGAAGGAGTCTTGGTGAGATACAATAACCCTTGAAAGGAAAATTTGGACCAAGCTAGGAAAGGAAGAGCTAGATGGGAATGTGACCTTATATGGAGAAGAGCTATGCCTGTATCCTGGATACAGGATCTTTTTGGGGGAGGCCAGTGCAGGTGTCTAGGAAGATTATAAAAAGTGAGGGAAAGCATCTTGGAGAAATCCTAACACTACCATGGTATTGGAAGATGGCCCAAAGTTCGTCATAGGGCCCGTGGCTTACTTCATTTGCTTAGCTGTGATCTCAAGGCAGGGTTTTGTGGCCAGATAGCAAGCTCTTATGTCATTGGTCACTACACTTTGCAGCTCTTCTGGTACTAGGCTCTGTTTTCCGTTATGGGTGAAGTCTGGCATAGGAGGAAGTAGAGCTGTTTTGCCTCGAGACATAAACAGTAAGGGCTGGCAAGACAGCTTGTCGCCCATATTTAGAAGTGGATATGTGTATATATGTCTGTGTATATACACATTGTTTTCAGAGACTGGAAGAGGAAAAAATGGCCTTAAAGAATAAAAACCAAAAAAAAAATTAAGTTGAACATAAATAATTCATAATAATGAAGGTAATTATACTTTAACACAAGTTTTGAAGAAGTTGTTTTCCCTAGAGATCTTTTAAAAATAGGGTGGATTCTATCTCACGCCCCCATCCTGCCTAGATGACATGTCTAGCATGATGTATTCAATTAGAGAAAGTCTTTTTACAAATGTGAAAAACACGTGGGAGCATCTTTAAAAATTGCTGGCCTTAATTTTTTTTTTTTTTTTTTTTTTAATGTTCAAGAGGTTTTCTGGCTTTCTGAATCCACGGTTTTGATGGCATCTGAGCACCAGCGGCCAGTCTGTGAGCTCCAACAGCCCTCCTTAGCTCTGTCCATGGTGCCAGTCCTCATAGGTAGCTCTGGGCGCTCAGCCAAGGGTACTAATATGCATTGAGAAAGATAGTAAAGGTGTGTGCCTGTAATCCCAGCACTCAGGAGGCTGAGGCAGGAGGATTACTGTGAATTTAATGCTGAAATGGGGTACATGGTAAGTTTTAGACTAGCCAGGGCCACATAGTGGGATCCTTCAAAAGGAAGGGAGGGAAAGAGAGAGGAAGGGAGAATGAGTTCAGCTGAGAGAAAACTTGGAAATTGGAGCTCTAGGTCTCGTGGGGGAGTCCTGTTGGTGCTGCTGTTGTTTTGTTGTCTTGTAACTCAGAATGTGGGAATAGGATTGCTGTAAGAAGCCTATCAAAGCCTACCTAAGGGCTGGAGCATTTGTCTAAATTGTAGTTGTTTTTTTCTTAAAAGATGACACTTGTAAGCATCTCAAAGCTGCTTGTTCTGAACAGCAGGGACCCTGTGAGCACATGTTTATACTGGCTTAGAAACCTTCCATTTCCCTGAGTGAACAAGTAAACTTCTGGCCAGATGCTGGAAGATAAACAGGATGACCATGTCTTAGTGAGGTTTAAATGTACTTTAAGAAAACAAACCCCTGTAGGTTACAACAAGGAGCAGTCTGGCCATTTTATAATCCTTAAGACAGCTCAATGCTATCCGACACCTCCTGAAAGGCAGCCTTTCTGCTTCTCCTAAATTCTGCTTTAAGAGACAGTAGTCCTGTGACTACTGCGGAGGGGTGACTTTCCCCTTACTAAGCTTCCAGAACTACTTGGACACTTCCTCTGTTATCTCCCTTCACATGCATGTCAAACATTTACTGATAATAAAACATGAAGAAATTTATTCTGAAATAATTCTTCTGTATACATACACTTTTACCATTTATTAAAGTTTAAAACCTATCTGGATACCAATGAGAAAAGTGCTTCATTCATTTATTCATTCATTGTGAGGCAGGGTCTCACTATGTAGCCCTGGCAGGTTTGGTACTCATTATGTAGATTGGGTTGGCCCCAAACTCACAGAGCTCTGCCTGCTTCTACCTCTCAAGTGCTGGGATTAAAGGAGTTCACCACTACGCCTGGAACTAATTTATTTTGTCACAAAACATTAAATCTTAGCTGAGTATTTGATACTAAAGAGCATAAGGCATCTTCAGTGTTTTCCAGAGATGATCAATAGAGTAACCAGTGCTGAGAATGAAAGTCCACATAAATAAGTCCAAAACAGCAGAAGCATGGTTGGAGCCATTTCAGAAATTGGAGGAAATTCTGTCATAAACTGAAGCCATTTAATATTTTTTTAAATGAAACTTATGTCAGCAATTCAGGTTTTCAAATAAAATGTTCTAACATGATACAGCTCCAAGACAGAAGAATTTGGCACTTAGATGCTGAAGAATGATGATAGGGAACTATTTAAAGTGTGATTTAACCATGTGAGTCTATAGAGCAGAAAGCTTCCTCTGTGCAGTTGAGACACTGCGGTTCCGTCTGAGCTGGGGTGTTTCAGCCATTGTCGGGGTTGTGTGGTGTGAGGGCATGCTCGGTGCACAGCGTACATATATGAATGCACATATTCAGAACCAAGGCTGCAGTGACGCTGCCTGATGCACGGGGGAGTGGCAGGCCTCGATTTGTTACCTTTGATTCTGAATTAGTTTTCAGTCGTGCCGTCTTTTAAAACTTTACAGATTCCAACTTTTTCACAAACTCCACACTCAGTTAAGTGGTCCAAGCCTCAGTTTTTAGAAGGTGTGGCTGTACAGTCTGAGGCTCTGTGCTGAGCACATCGCCACTGTTAACCTCATCTTCATCCCCCTAGCAGCCCTCCAGATGAGCCTGCAGAAGCTTGGGGAGGTTAATGTGTACACGCAAAGTCACATGGGAAGTGGGAGAGTCAGGATTCAAGCCAAGGTCTGAACACAAGCTTTTGCTCTGAGCCTTCTCCTCCTGATAGACCCTGTGCATGTGGATGCCCCCTCCTTGCCAGGATAACTCATGGCAGCTTCTCCTAAGTCAGTCCTGTCTTGGGCTGCTGAGCCAGTGTCTCTTAGGATCTGTCTGGGAACATGTAGTTAGGAAAAGCTCCCCATGAGAAGGGACCATGACAGACCCACTGGAAGAGCAAGATATCTCCAGGACCCAATGCAATCTGGAAGTTTGGATATTGGACTGGAGAAAGGAATGCAGATTCAAAGCTCTGGCCTTGTAAGGAGAACTGACTTGGTACATTCGCTGTCAAGAAAACAAGATACTTTTACACAGTGCCCCAGAATCTACATCGAAGCCATAGCTGATAGGCTATTTCATGATCCATGGCTCATGAAGACTTTGTGAACCACACTGGGGTGAAGGGCTCTGGCCAGAAGTGAAGTCAGAAAACAGCTTTCCTGCTGGTTCATGACCTGTACTGGTACCACTTCCTGTTGGAGGTTAAGACCACCGGGCTTAGTTGCTGTGACTCATGGTGCCACTTCTAAGCATCTCTGTCACAGAGGTCTGTCTTGAGTTTTTCCTTATTCCTGCTCCAGCTTGCCCTAAGGCAAGGCTTGCAGAAGGCGGGTTTTCTCAGGCACAGATATAGTTGAGTGAAAATAGCTCTCGTAGCTGTGCAGGATTTCTAAGAATAGCCTTATTTTGCTCGAGTTCGAGTAAGTTCTTCTGTTGTGAAGATGCCTTGCTGACTTGTGCCTCCTTCCCCAAACTTTTGTTGGTCCTGCCCAGGGGCGGGGTCTAGTGGCTTGCAGCATTCACCTCTGTTCTCCTTATGTGAGCTGCCCAGAAGGTCTCCGCCCAGCATGTGCAAAAGTCTTTGGTCTGCAAGATAGTTGAGAACAGAAGCATTGATCCCCTTCCTACCTCGGGACCCTGAAGGCCGAAGGAAGACGGGGATGGTGAGCCTTGTCCAGCACATGGGTTCCTCTAGACTTTGGGTTCCTCTAGTCCATGGATCCTTGTAGGTTGTCTTCCTTGGTTTCTCTCCCACTTTGCCGAATTCTCTCTTAGGAGTATGTCTTCTGCAGCTATTTTCCACCCTCTTGTTGCCTTTGTTTTCTATCCTTTAATATTTGATAGTCTTTAACCAAAACATACATAACCTATGACTTTTTGAAAGCCCTCTAGACTTGGCTTCCTTATTCTTCCTGGTCCCCTTTTGCCTGCTTTTTCTTCACCACCCAGACTCTCCCTGTCTCTTTTTTTCTTGGCTGTTTTTTGTGAGGGTGTTTGTGACTTCCATCTTCTATCCTTGCTCTTGCTAAACACATGAGTAAAGTCTAAGAAGGAATTATGTTGAGTGAATAAGATCATGTGAAAATGAGCCGTGATTATCACAAAGATAATTTTAAGTTTAGAGACCTAAAAAGCACTAACTGGAAATTTAATGACACACGGTCTGTGGTTCTGTGAATGATGCTTGAGCATCCCATACTCTAGGTAGCATTTGAAACAGTTTTGGTCAGCACTCTCTCAGGTCAACTTTCAGAAGTGTATAAATTCTAAACAGCAACAGCAAAATCAGCCTGGAGGAAATTTTTTTAGAAATTCATTTAACATCCTTTTTGTGTTTGAGAAGGCAATTATGAAGCTCCTGGAAGTTCTGCTGCTAGCTATTGTGCTACTAAGGCCAGATTGCCAAAGCTGGGAGAGCTGTTTGGTGGGTCAACACTGAGCCTGTCAGGGGCCTTCGGGGCACCAGAGTTAAGTTTTTCACTCTGTGTGTGTGCTGCACAATGTTCAAGCTTCCGGGAATGGTTGGCATGGGAAGTTCTGAGTGTTGGTGCCAAGGTTTGATGTCAGTTGCTTGGTGCTCCAAGGGACACAGAGAGTATGTGGTTCTGTCGCAAGCAAGAATCACAAGATCCCAGCTCAGCTGAGGCCCCTGTGGCGTTATGGTCAAGAGCTCTTGGAGTATGTGATGGCAGATTTTGTGTTGCTAGTTTATAGGAGGTTTGAGAAAGGTTTTACATCATGTGTCTTATGATTAAACCCAAGCACATGTACCCGTATTCTATTTGGCTATCTCTAACAGGACTGGTAGAAGGATGGCCTTACACTCAGCTTTCCAGTCCTTGGTCATTCTAACAGTATACCTAACTTCCTCAGTGTGGACTTGCCTACCAAGAAGAAGTTTCAAACAACAGCAAGCACAGGATGTAGCCATGTCGTCTTCTGTCCCTGGAGGAGGCAAAGTGAATGTGTTAAAGTTATTCTGAAGGCTTGCCTAAGCATCTCCTAGGATGGGGTGTTGAGAAAAATGGAGCAAAGGCTTCAAGGCTGGGAATGGCATGGCTTGCAGTGCCCATTAGTTTCAGGACACCATTCTTGGCTTCTTCCATGATTAAAAAAAAATAAATAAAATTTTCTGTCTTCTTGCCCAGACTTAGAGATGTGAAGTTGAGGTAAAAGAAAGTGAAAAAGTGACAAAACAGGCAGCCCTCTCCCAGGACACAGGTGACTTCAGGAAGATTGTGACTCTGTCTCTTTGGTGTTTTGTTGTTGTTGTTTGTTTTTTGTCAACATAAGTCTTTTATTGTTCCCAAAGGCACCCCAAATCATACTTATAATTGAGGATCTTGTTTCAGAGGTAGGTAACTTAGGTCTTATTTATCAGCCTGCTGCACTGTTCCCTTTTCAGACACACAGATACCATCCAAAAACTTTCTGATATCCTCGTTTTTAGCTGTCGTGGCTTGCTGAATCAGAGCAGCTGAATTTGAAACAAATTCAATATCATTTCCTCCAAGGATTAATTCATCCTTCTGGACTTGAGAGACAGAACAAGCAACACCTGTTCTCATGCAAACCCTTCGGATGTATTTTTCACCCAAGAAATTTTGGATTTCAACCAAAGACCTATTTTTCTGGATAACGACGTTGATGGGGAAGTGAGCATACACAGACCTCATCTTTTAACGGAAGCCCAGTGCAACACCCTTGATCATGGTCTGAACATGACTGCAGATGGTTCTCACAGTGGCCATTTCCTTTCTGTTACCCCACCATATGTCAGCCCGGAGCCTCTTCTTTTTCCTTCCAAGACTCCACTCTACATTGATGTGATTGAAGGCCCTCCGCAGAGTTCCCCTGGGGCCCTTCACAATGACTGTGTGTCCTTCAGAGTGATGTCGGTATTTTCTGGGATGTCAACAGTCTAAATGCTGAGAATGGTCTTCATTCTCACAGTAGATAGGGCAAAACCTGTTTTTTTGTGTTTGTTTGTTTGTTTGTTTGTTTGTTTTTTTAAGACAGGGTTTCTCTGTGTAGCTCTGGCTGTCCTGGACTCACTCCGAAGACCAGGGTGTCCTGGAACACGCAGAGATCTACCTGACTCTGCTTTCCAAGTGCTGGGATTAAAGGCATGCACCACCATTGCCTGGCCAATGTGTCTTTTCACTGTGTCACCAAGGGCAACTTTTCTTACCTTCCTCAGGCCCCGGTCTCCTTGTTTATAAAATGAAGGGTTATGTCCTTTGATATAACTGTTCTCAGCTATTATTCAGAAGTTAATAATGGGAGTTTGTATTGTTATTTTCATTCATAAAATGAGATTTAAGATTTTATTTTATTGGATTTATGAAAGAGATATCAAAAATAATTGTAGACCTTATCATAATTGCTGAAGTTTCTCAGGTTAACCCCTTTGACATCTGTGCTTTCATACAGTCCCTAAACTTAAGTCTGTGTTAGAGTCCTATGGACACTGTGAGAAGTGCAAAGCTCTCTCACAAAGTAACCATGCCCATGTATAGCTTAGGGTAGATGAGACTCTTTCCCCACCTGCACCCAATAATAGTGTTAAGAGTATCAATTAATAGCCTTGTGTGGTAGCACTCACCCTTAATCCCAGCACTCAGGAGGCAGAGGCAGGTGGATCTCTGTGAGTTTGAGGCCAGCCTGGTCCACAGAGTGAGTTCCAGGATAGCCAGAGCCCCATAGTAAGACCTTGGAGAGCAGGGGACCTGGGGGATGTGACTATCTGGATCAGCCACTTGGTCCCTGCTGTTGCCATGGCTCCGTCTCCATCTTGCTTTGCTCTCCTTTTCAATGTACCTGTTAGGCTCCTTGCACTTTTTTTTTCCCCTCATTACATGAGAACTATTTCTCGTTGTCTTCTAAAGCCTTCTAAAATTTGACATTAGAAATTTGTGGAGGAAACAGTGTTTCGAAATATTAATCTTAACATTGACAAATATTTAAATGCTGTCTCTGCACCCATACTTTGCTTCTAGCCTTAGTAGCTGTGTGACAGTTTTAAACTAACCCTCTCACTGCCTGCTGCTAGCTGCCATCTTCCGTGATTCAGAGAGGCTTAGAATTTTTAGCTAAAATGTTTGTCTAGGTTTAAAGCAATGTTTTGTTTTCTCAGTTGACTTGAGTTGGAGTAGGCACTGTTTTTTGTTTGTTTGTTTTTTTTAAGTCAAGTCCCCCAAGCTAAAGCTGATTTGATATTGTAATAGCTCTTTGTGACTACATTGAGTCCCTTTAAAATAAAAATCGCTGCAAAACAAACAAAAAGCTAGCAACACAAAATTCTTCAGAACACCCCCCCCCCAAAAAAAAAATTACCTTTCTGATTCCATTTCATCTTCCCACTGCCCTGTTTCTGGAAGCTAACATAAATAAACTGACAGTACTCAGTCTATAGTAATGAAAGGAATAAAGGGTTGGGGTGATGCACATTTTTAGTTCCAGCACTCAGAAGGCTGAGGCAGGAGGATTATAAATTAGAGGTTAGCCTGAGCAACATAGTAAGACCCTGCCCATCCCATCCCTCCCCATCTCACTTCAAGAGAGAAAGATTTGGTGGTGTTGGTAAGGAATCTTAGTCCCTGTCAAACCTTTGTATTCACCAGTTCTTATCAGGGAGAGGGGAGCTGGAAGGAGGACAGGGTCCTCTGGTACCTGATGCCTGTCTGTTGTTTTGGCTGAGGGAAACCTTGGGCAGACAAAAATGGAAGAAGAGAAGGGACAAAAAAGGTAGACGCTGTCTTTGAATACCACTGTACTCAAAATAATGGCACTGTTAGCTTTGTTTACATTTCATAAAACATTCTGGCCTTTTCTGCTGGATATTTAATTTGCTCAGAAACAAGGACCTGATTTCCGTTGTTATTAACTCAGCCTATCAAATTCCTTGATTTATCTTTGCTGGTTATGTCATGTGCTTTGCTGAAAGCGTGTTAAGGATCTTCAGAGATAGAGCCGGTCTTTGTACTAGGAGCTTATACATTGAATTCAGAGGAGCAAGATATAAGACTTTCAGGCACTCTAGAGAAAAAAAAAATGTTTAGGAAGGATTATCATGGATATCATGACTGAATACCTTGTACTTGGGGCAGATCTGTTTTAGAAATCAGTTCCTGTAAATGGGCTTGTGATCTGATTTTTCCTTTAAAAAAAATAGAGCCCCTTCTATGAAGCGTTTAGATCTTTCTTGGTCATCTCAGAGCCCAGGATTAGTTTATCTAGGGGCATATACACGTGCACCTGCAGAGCCTGTCATCACACACCAGCAACTCATGTGAGTTTGACTCATACTCAGTTTTGACACTCACAGTGCCCTCACAGAGCAGGCCTTACATCAGCCATGGCAATGGTGGGTCTTAAGAAATCTGCACACAGAGCAAGGCTGAGGTATAATTAAAACAGATTATGATGAGAGTTTTCTCAGACTCTCTTTTGCTGCACAATCTCTTTGCTAGTTGTATTGCCCGAAGAACATACGCAACAAATCAGAGCTACATATTCTTGTGACCTCTTCTTCGTATCCAGTAGTGGCCCTGAGCCTTGGAAAGAGGCCACGGCCCTCAGCAGGCCAGACCAGAGACTGAGCATTGAGCGGCGAGATCCATCTCAGTCCCCACTTCCCATTCGGACAGACACAGAACCCTGCATTGCAGCTTTGGTGCTGGCCTTCTCCTTGTGAGGAATCTTGACCCTGTGTGTTACCTGGTGTCTGCAAGCAGTTTCCACCGGGCCGTGGTGGGTCAGATGGGCTCTTGCAAACCTCACTTCTGTGCAGTGTAGTCTATGTGATGGAGCCCCAGGCTCGAGTCCTCTCCCTGCTGGGTCCATGGTGTGGCCGGATGTCATACGGGATTATAGAAGTGGGGCTTGGTGGTCACCCAGGATCTCTCACTTTAGTCTCTTCTCCCTGATTTGTTTCTTTTTTGTTCATAGATGATGATTCTGATCTACATTCTCCTCGATACTCCTTTTCTGAAGACAGTAAGTGACTGGAGCCCCTGCTTGTGGGGGAGGGAAGGGACACATTGAAGAGGCATCTTCAGGCGTTAGTTTTCATTTGAGGCTAAAGAATTTTGTATGTGCTTTCTCCAGCAAAATCTCCCCTTTCTGTGCCTCGCTCAAAAAGTGAGATGAACTACATTGACACGGAGAGAGTGGTTAAGAGGTCGGCCACACTCCCCCTTCCAGCCCGCTCATCCTCACTCAAGTCCAGCCCAGAGAGGTAAGTGCACCCCCAGATGCTCATCCATGAACCCCACCACCTGACGCCAGCATGAGTCCCAGGAGCCTCCTTTGTCAGGAACAAGGAGACTGAATCCCTGCTGTCACCTGTCAGCAGTGACGTAGTCTGAGTCTCCCTATCCCTGTCTGTGAAATGAGGATAAAAATAGCATGACTACTCCATGAGAGTGCTGCAAGGATAAAGAGATTGCACTTGACCTTCCCGTTAGGGCCTGGCTCATGGCACGGGTGTGATTAGGGTTGCCTATAATTCCTATAACCTTTTCTCTACTCAGGAGAGAAGGTTTGCAGTATTAGGCATTAAACCCACAGCCTTCATGGATGCTAGGCAAGTGCTCTGCCGTGGGGCTTGTCCTAGGCTCTCCTTTTTGTGCTTTATTTTGAGATAGTATCTCAATAAGTTGTCCCCACTGACCTTGACCTTGACCTTTGTAGCCCAAGCAGGCCTTGAACTCTCAGTCCACCTACCTCAGCCTACAAGTAGTTGGGGCTACAGGCCTGCACCACCAGGCTCTATTATCTTCTATCAAGAAAATCCTTGAATTGGAAATCCACTTACACACTCATTGCAAAGACTGTGCTATTAAAACGCAGCTCTATTCTGTACCTCTCTTTACTGATATAACATGTATCGAGACAAATGCCCTATGGAGTAATCGTGTCTTGTCATCTGGATGGGAGTCCCATGTGTCTTTTGGCCCCAGCTTCTGCCACTCTTCCACAAACTAAATGGTCTGCACAGATGAAACTTACTATTTTTTCTTAAATGCACATCCAGTTTCTGCCTCCATAGCTCCACAGGCAGGTGAATGACTGTTTTAAAAGCCCCGCATGTTCCTGATACATCTACCTGATGAGTCTGACAATTAATAAAAAAAGAAAGGCTGATCTACCCAGAAATTCTGTAAGCACCTACTGGGTACATTTTATACAGATTGAATCAGGCTTTACAGAAGAAGATACGAATCATTGCTTTACCTTTTAGAAGGTTTCAGCCTTTCGTGAAAAACAAAATATAACCACCATGCGTAAAAGTTTGCAGACAATTTCCAAAGATTCACACATCCTCTGGCATCCCATTTCTGGATGTCAGGCTGAAAATCAGGACCAGGGCTGATAAGAGGCCTCAAGGCACCACGCTTGGCTTGTGTTTGATGTCTGTAAATCAGATAAAGATGGAAGGAGGAAGAACTGACTCCACAGAGCTGCACTCTGACTTACATGTGTGCACCCTGACATGTGTGATGCACACTGAGGGGGGGGAGGGAGGAAGAGAGAGAATCTTAGTTAGGGTTACTATTACTTTGATGAAACACTATGGCCAAAAACAGCTGGGGTGGGGAGGGTTTATTTTGCTCACAGCTCCATATAAGTTCATCATCAAAAGCAGTGAGGGCAGGAACTCACACAGGACAGAATCCTTGAGGCAGGAGTTGAATCAGAGGCCATGGAGGAATGCTGCTTAATAGTCTGTTCAGCTTGCTTTCTTATAGAACCCAGAACACCAGCCCAGGGATGGCCCCGCCCACAATGGGCTGGACCCTACCCCAACAATTAGAAATTAATAAAATGCCCTATAGCTGGATCGGATACTTTCTCAATTGAGGTTCCCTTCTTTCAGATAATTATACTTTTTGTCAGGTTGACATAAAATTAGCCAGCACACAGACAAATAATAAACTTAAAACAACTCTTTGACCCAAACTGAGGTTAGTGTGTGACAGGTTGGGGTGCAGAATAGGAAAGAAGATAGGGCACCCAGCTGGGTGTTTACTGAGGGATCTTGTGGACCTGACATGCTGCCACAGAGGTCCCCATCTTCTGGTAGACAAGCTAATGCTCCAGGGGTCTTTACAGTACTACAGTCACCTGGGTAGCAGGGGTTTGAACCGCAGTCTGGTGGCTTGAGGACCTGTATTTGTGCTCTGCATGAATTGTGTGGGAGCTCAGCCATGTTTGGGGAATGTTAGAGTCACAAGAGCCTTCCCAAGCCTTGCTGCACTTCCCTCCCTTCCTCTCTTCCATCTCCACATCCTGGTGCCAGGTTTTGAGCACAGGGTACCTCATGCCCCTTGTGAAGTCAAGCTGGAGGCTTAATTGGGTTGTTTTGAGAAGCAAGCTAATACAGCAAAATTGCTGGCCTGATTCCAGTTTTATGCTTTGGATATATTAAAAAAAAAAAATCCTTTGATTAAGACTACAGCCAACCAGGTTCAGACTGTGTGGGAAGCTGGTGCTGTTTTTATGAAAATAGGATTTTCCTTCTCCAGAAACGACTGGGAGCCTCCTGATAAGAAAGTGGATACCAGAAAATACCGAGCAGAGCCCAAAAGCATTTACGAATATCAGCCGGGCAAGTCCTCCGTTCTGACCAATGAGAAGATGGTAATGTGATATGGAAGTTCCTTTGTCTCCCTCTGCCCATGTCGTCTAGTTGACAGATTGTGTGGTTGAAGCGTAGTCTTCCCCCACATTGGTTAGGACAATGAAAAAAAGTGAAGTATTTTTACAGGTCTTCATGAAATAAGTCCCAAGTCTGCCTTTCAAGAACTGTTTTTCTGTGGCTCCGTTGTTACATTTGTGCGTGGTTTTAACTCATTTTAATTTTCTACTAACAAAGATTGATCTTGCTTCTGGTTTTTGTTTTTGTTTTTGTTTTTGTTTTAATGCATTACTTTGTTAGACTTATTGAGTAAAGGTTTTTATTTTTCATAGGCAACTCTGGTTTGAAATGGATAAATTTTTTACAGAAATAACCAGTCTAGCATTCAACTCACTCAGACATAAATAACCAATAGAATGTTGTAACTTGGGGCAAAGCCTTAGGCTGTTAGATTTTATCACTTAGGTCTTTTGTCTTTGATTGACACAGTGTTGAGAATTAACTTCTAAAAATCAGTTTGGTTTACTGTCCCTTACACCAATTCACATCTCTAGGAAATTAAGCGGAGAAGCTGTGTGGAAATTCCAGCCACTTCTGTGAAGTAGGGAGACTTTACAAACTGAGTAGTTTCATATCTGCCAATCATATTTCCTTTCATTCATTCACCTTTCATTAGAAAAAGCTGGTTCAACTTTCAGAAAATGGTTAAAGAGATTCTCCAAAGCATTGCAGTCCTGTGGCATGACAGCAGGATAAAGAGGTTACACTGGACATTGGTTTCATTAAGCTTTTAGCGTGCTGATCTGTGTGTTTTTAAGGGATAATTGATTTGACTTTTACTGAAATGAGAATGTGACATCATTATAACTGCTGGAATAATATTAATTAGGAAAAAGGTCACCAGTTCACAGAAATGCTGTTAGAGTTGTCATTTTTCAGTGTTTGCTGGGGACCACAGGTATTTTAAGCAAAAAGTGGAAGATAAGCTGAATGACATCTTATGGATTCCCTGCTTCTTTGAGGATTTTCTGTCTGCAAGACCCCAACCTTCTACCCAAGGGTTCCTGGAAAGAAAGTCACACTTTTTAGTAATAATCCTAGTGGCCACCATTGTGCATTAATAGTCAAGCGACTTCAGGGATTCTAGAGGCCTTTGGGTGCTTTTCTTTGGGCAGTGGCCACTCATAGATTGTCCTGGCCTTTATTGAAGGCACAGCCGCTTTCTTAATTTTGTCTTTGTTTCCACTTCCTTCCCCCGGTCTTAGTCATTTCACCTTTATTCAGAGCTAGGAAAACAACATTATTTTGTTTTCCTCTTTGGTATCACAGTTCTTGGGATCGTTGGGATTATTTTTACAACTCCTGGGAAGTGCCCCCTGGTGCCCCATGGAGGACCCTCTAGGGAGTGGAGGAGACTGGTGGACAGCAGAACACCATCTGGCGTCTCAGTACAGGCGCTCCTCTGTGATGCTCAAGGCTTGAGGCACATCCAGAGTGGCATGTGGGCACCTATCCAACAGTTTAATTCAGCGCCCTTCACCCCAGTTAGCTCTGTCCTTCCAAAGAAAAGGATTTTAGAGAGGAATTTCAGTTGAATCTTAATTTTTTGACAGTGGTTGAATTGCTCCATTATGTTTGATCTTTTTAAATCCTGCTATTTTTATCACATGAACAGAAAAGCTGCTATGCGAATTTCAGTGTGAGCCTTTGATATTATCTGGCTGGCTAGGATTTCTGCAGCACCCCCATTCATATGCTTTTTGAAGAGAACTAAAGAATCGTTTCATTATTAAATGTGTAAACTGGTTACAGATGTAGACTCTAAGTTAGATTTGATTTTAGTTTGTTTTGCCTTTTCATGAAGAAAGGAAAAATATACACTTTTTCTTCCATTTGAGGTGTTCATGCCTGCTTAATTCTCCCAATTCAAGGAATGGGCCTGGGCACAGCTAATTTACACCATTGGGAAAAATATTAATCTATATAGGCTTACACTGCCCCAGACCCATGAAACACCTTTAGAATCCTTGAAGATTCTATTACCTTCAGAATCCTTGGGTGACTCCCAGCCTTGAGGACCTGGTCACCCATTTGGCATATTCATAAAGGCCTAAATACTTGTCTGTCTATCAAAGTCTAAGTCTCTCTAGCCTTGGACTTAGAGATGTATTACTTGGTCCCTGCTTTGTCAGGAATGTTTAGGCTTTACTTTTTTTTTTTTTTTTTTTTTTTTTTTCTGAAATCTCCTCTAGGACATGAGCTTCATTTAACCAATATATATATAAAGAAATGGCTTTTTTCATGCCAAGCCCTGGGCTAGATGTTGGAGTTTATATTGCGCAGGTATATGGTAGCGAGGACAGACATTGGGATAGTAATTACAGGCACAGAATGAATGTGGAAGTGTGAACAAGGGGATTTGCCCTCTCTGCCTCTTCCTGATTCATTGTCATTTGAGTTTCTTCTTGGGTGTTTCTAGCTAGCCACTAGCCCTGCTTTATTTTGGTATCATCTACATACTCAGATTAGGAAGATGAATGGGAGTATAGCATAGTTTACCAAGTTCTTGACCAGTAACAGAACATCTAAGGTCTGGGATCCAGTCCTGACTGCTGTATGCCTTCAGGGAAGTTGTTTAACCTTTTTGAATCTCAAGGTTTTCATTTGTAAGTAGAAAAATGATCTAGCCCTTCAACCTGGTGGAGTGCTGGGTGATATGGCCAAGAGGGGTACTCTGGGTGTAAGAGCCATGGAAAGTATGGTGGAAGTGAACACTCCATGTTCAGATGGTTTACTTAATTGAAATTGGAAGCTGGTCTGTGGCTCCTGTTCAAGCATCAACACTACCTTTAAGGAGATGACATTTTCCTGGCAAGAAACTTGCCCTTTCCATGCATTTTTATCAAGCTGGAAAAAGAGTGGCCTACAGCAGCAAAGACCATAGCCTGGCATTGTGGAAGTGCCATGGCTGGGGGGACAGGGCTCTTTTTCTTCTTCCAGAAGGGGTTCATTGTTAGTCTGTTCCCTGATTGGGTGTATTGCTTAGTTACCACTGGCAGACTAATGCAGGTATGGGTGCTATGTGCCATACCTTTTTATGTTTGTGTCTGGGCAGCTCAAAGAACTGCGGCTTCAGATCTAAGTTATTTAACATAACCTTTTCTTTACTCAGCATTAATCTTGTCAGTCAGCTATTCTGCAAACAGAATTCAAGAATAAAATGAGTTCATTCTTTCAAGGCTGTAAATATTATAACTCCTAGGCAGTTTCCCAAAAGATTTGGTATGTTAGTACATTTTACTTAAAAATAAAAAAAAAAAAACAAAAAACCAAAAACAAACCTAACCCATCCCCAGGAGAGAGTTTATAAATAGTCTTTGTAAAAATAGCAAATATGAAGTAGGTTTCATGAAAACCCACCATTCTAGATTGTAGAATGACCCAGTGTCGATGCCATCATTCCCGAATGGTTTTGTATTTGTGAGTATTATGCTTCATTTCACTGAATAAAGGCAGAAGCCGGGCTGGGGAGACAGCTCAGTTGGTAAAGTGCTGGAGGGCCCAAGTTCAGTTCTCAGAAAAGGAGTAAGAGAACCAGGCTTGGAGGCTTGTGCTTACAGTCCTAGCACTGGGGAGGTGGAGCCAGGCAGATCCTCAGGACTTGCCGGCCAGCCAGCCTAGCCCGATTGGCAAGCCCTACGCCATTAAAAGTCCCTGGCTCAAGGTAGCTGGCTCCTAAGGAACATCACTCAAGTTTTCCTCTGATGTCTACATACATGTATGTGCATAGATATGTAAACACACCTGTATAAACATGTGGTTACACACACACACACACACACACACACACACACGGATGCACACCAGACACTATTTATATCTGGGTGGGCAGGCCTTCTCCTTCAGAACAGAAACTCTAAAGGATGGAATTCAGCATATATTCCCCTCACGGTGGAAATCATATTTCAGTTAAAGTCGCCATAGCTTCCACCTGCGGCAGCAGGAATGAACGAATGACAGATGCTTCCAGGGATTTTGGAAGAGACTAAGGCAGTTTTCAGACTCCTCTGCAAGGAGCAAAGGGCTATTAAGTGGTGTCAGTGCGTGCAGGAAGGACTTCTCTGGGGTGTAGCAGCACTTGAGACCCATAGGTGGGGCTGGCAGCATGTTCTCTGCCCTGTGCCATCTACCTTATGGCCAGGAGGTAGCTGAGTTTCTTGTGTGTGAGATCTTCAACCTCAGAAGAAATCGTGTACAGTTTTGTATTTGAGGTTAAAAAAAATCACACCTCAATCTTTTGTAAGTTCTGGAGTTATTAAGAACATATGAATTTAAGCAAACCTTGAACTCAAACCCTTGTGCCTCATATGAGCAAAATTGTTTTTATTAGAAAACTTGATTTCTAATCATCTGTTTTTAGTGTTTTTCAAAAATAGATGATATTCCCTAGATATAGCGCAAGAGTTTTAGTACGTATTTGATGAAATACTAAATTACAGGGTCAAATTATCAACCTGTGTGACACTTCTTGGTGTACTGACAGTGAGGAATCTAACTTCGGAATGTCACCCAGAAGTTTTCTCCCCTGCTCTGTTCTGTTCTCTGTCTCGTCTAGCTTTTCTGTCACTTGATTTTTTTCCCCCTCAACCCTTTAACATTTATGTGTTAGAACACGAAGTATACTCTGTCTGTACTCATTCCCCACGGGTGCTTGTTAAAGTGTTTTTCCGCTGTGTCTTCTGTTTTGACTTACATCATTTTTTCACTTTGCCGCGTATGACACATGGTATCTCACCTATTCATGTGCCATTAAAGATGCAGTATTAACCAATTGGCTTCTATAAAGTGTGTCAGTATTTGCATTTATTTTGAGAACCTCAAGGCAGCCTTGCAAATAAGTACTAAAACTGTTCTAGCCCATAAAAACTGTCTGCTTTATTCTGACACAGATGCTGAATGTTTGGTGTGCTCACCAGTTTATATACTCACAGCTAATATTTCTTTACAAGAGTAAACAAGGGCTTTTTTTTTTTCTCTCTAATGCTGGAATGATTGAAGAGTGCTGTTCTGCCCATATTTATCTTCGTGGCAACAAGTCGCAGTGTGGTGCCATGCCCTCTGGCCCCAGTCCAGCTGCCTCTGCAATAGGACTGAAAACGAATCCCTCACTGCTCCCTGCCTTGGTCTCCCCATTTCACGAAGACATCCAGTTTCAGTGCCCTGCTTTTTTGCTGGTGTCAGTAAAACTGGACAGTCACTGCGGTTGAAGCAGGCACTGTGCAATCCCAAGCCACTGCATCTCTACTGGCCTGTTCCTATGTAACCTTTTACATAATGTTATCCTTCTCTTTCTTCCATTTCCCTGTCACCAACCCTTATAGAGTCGGGATATAAGCCCAGAAGAGATAGATTTAAAGAATGAACCTTGGTATAAATTCTTTTCGGAATTGGAGTTTGGGAAACCGGTAAGTGTAAGAGCTTCAGTGGTTATACGTTGGGAAATAATGCTGTTGCTGCTGCTGCTGCAGAATCAGGTCTGTGTGAGGGGTCCAGGAGTGGGAGCAGCCCCAATCGTTGTCAATTTTGTCTTATCTCACTGCAACCTGGAGGCTTTCCTTGCTTCACTGAGAAGGGACAGTGAGCTCTGAGGTACACCTTCCTAGACTACCCAGAGAGTGTGACCAAAGCAACACTTGTCCTAGGAGCTCTCTCTGCCACCTCCAGCAAATGTCATACCTGGCGGGTGACATTTTTTTCTGCCATCCAGACACTGCTTTAGCTAGCCACTAAGGTATATGAAGGCAGGCAGGGAAACGCGTCAGTGAGAAGGCCAGTGGTACAGTGCTTCCCATCACATGATGCTCGCAGGCCAAAGAAACTGCTTCCCTATGCAGATACAACCCCAGTTCAGCCCAGGTAAAGGCAGATCTTAGGTAATGGTTTCTATGAGTTGGGCTAGTATTTTCCAGCATTTGGAATGAAGTCTAGAAAATTTAGTGTTCAGCAGCTTCCCTGGGATATTTCTGAATTTTGTGTGTGAGAGTGTGAGGGGACGAGGGGGGAACAGTATTCCTGAGTCCTATGCCCAGACAAGTTTCAAGCATGAGAATAATCCAACCTCATCCATCCACTCAAGGTAACGGACTTTAAACCTGTAGTTACTTTGAATTCTTAAGGTGATGGACTTTAAGTCTGTAGTTAACTTTGAATTCCCAATTATACCTGCAAAAGGAATTTATAGGTAGAAGAGTTAAGCCTAGAAAAATGAAGCATTAGACCTTTATATGAGGCTCTAACCATTGGTTTTGGTCTTGGGTAGTCGTTTTATTTGCAGGTAGGAATGGATTTTGTAGTTCAGTAAAATGTTAAGTTCCATGCTGTGCATTTTTCATTGAGACGGAGACAGGGAAGGCAGGCTGGGGCTGTGGAATTGCTGATTTGGCTTAAAGACGCTGAGCTGGAAAGTTCTGTTGTTTTCTGAGTTAGGATTGCCCAGTTTCCAATATTCTACTTGTAGGAACAGGTATTCCTCCTTTCTGGGCCCTCCTGGAGGCATGATCTCCCCCACTTCCCCTTTCTGTTATTGTAGAGCGCCACCTAGGGACAGTGGAGAGGAAGCATCTAGCCCAACTGCTCTTCGCTTTTTTTCTCCCTTCCCCAGAGCTTCGGATGCACAGTGCACACAGCTCATTTCTTCTCCTTTATTTATTATTATTATTTTTTTGATATGTGTGGTCCCCTCCAAAGAATTATGATTGATGTGCACAGCAGCGATGCCACACTGTCCTCACGGAAAGCAAGAGATTCTCATTTTAAATTCCTTTTTTCCAATGATTTTTGAAACCCCTTTCAGTATCTACAGATTGCTAGCCATCCCCTCATTTACCAAATAAGTAAACTAGATTAATCTGAAATATTACCTTTTTATAAAAGTTAGGGAACTCTCTTTACCAATTTATTGCTAGTGCTAGGTTTTCATAAATCTATCATTGCAAACAATGTTTGTTGCTATTAGACAGTACTTCAGACTCCCACCTTTAGTAAACAGGTCCTGAGGATAACTTGGTAAAATAACAGTTCTACCAAAAACTGTGTGACTCGCTTCATGTAAACATGGAGGACACAGGAGGACAGTTATTTGTCAAATAATTCCTTCTCTTTGGGGAGGGATTCCTTTTTGTGTAGCCTTAATATTTGATAATTTGTCTAAAGAGCATGGGCCCCATGTCCTGGAACCTCAGTGAAAGGACATTTACGTATGGCTTGAGACATCCCCAGGGTGGGCTTGCTCTCTGGTTGAACCAGCATACTTTAGGGAGGAGGTAGGAGAGAGAGAAATCTTTTTCTCTCCCTATTCTAATTACAGCAAAGCACAGCGTGTACTGTGTGGTAAGGCAGGAGCCAAGGTAGTTGGTTTGGAAGATGCGTTAGCTATTCATGAGAAGAAGGCATCTGCCAACCACACAGGTTTTCATCTCTGCTTTGCCATTGCTGCTCTCACACCAACTTAAGGCCATTACTCCTGAGTAAAACCCACTAAAGTTTTGGTACTGGAAGTTTTGGGCTCCATTTGTATTCCTGCTCTTCCTCTCTTAAAGCCACTCGAGAAGAACTGAAAATTGCAACAAGATGCTCATTGTTGACCCCAATAAGTTGCCATGAGAAAAAAAAAAACACACACAAATAATTCAAGACTCAGGGAACCATTGCAGGTGTGGTAATTATTTGAAGCAAAATTAATTTGTAGGCATTCGCTTATGGAGTTTTGTGTCAAAGGAAGAGAGGTGTAGGGATAACATGTGTAAAAAGTCTACTTCCTAGACAGCCATCCAGTATATAAAGCACAAAAAAATGAATGGTAGCTGCCATATCACTGACTTTGCTAAACACAGCACTCACATACGTGGAGGACCTGCAGCTGCCAGCGAATGCAGCCAGCATCAGTTTGCTCTTCTTTTGGAGAGGTATTCTAGAGAACGTGAGGATCCACCTTTCATTCTTCCTTCCCTTCCAGTTTCTACAAAAATTGACTTGATTTCCATCCACAGACTCAAGACAGTGTTTTTCAATGTTAAGCCCTTCAAAGGCTTCTGTAGAGTTAGTTGGCATTAAACTTATGAAATCTTTGCAGCTTTTAATGATCTCCTGTTTCTGATTCCCCTGGAGGAGGTCATAGTATGGGAGATGTCAGCACGTGGGCACAGTCCAGAAAATCCACTCTGTGAGAGAGATATTCAGAGTTAGAAGTCTCTGGAAGTTTGCATAGCTCTCACTACACATACACACACCCTTGTTAAGTCTACAGCATTCTCCTGGCAGATCTCCAGTTCTCTAATTGTTCCTGAAGGGATAAAGAGCAAACAGAGCGACCTCTGACCTGCTGAGGAGGAAGTGGGGCAGGGCGTACCTCTAGGATTAGTGGTATTACCAAACTCTACTTAAATTGTGAAAGGCCAGTTAAGCTGCTGGTATGAAATGGTCACATGCGCTATTTGAACTCCACTCTGGATGCTGTTGCCACAATCCGGAGAGTCACCTTTAGTTCAGGTCAGCCTCCATTGGCCAAGTCTGAATATTTGCACATTGATTAACATGCAATGAATATTTTTCTATACTAGTCAAGACTACTTCAAAAATGTGAAATCTCCAGTGTCAATCTTTGTTTGAAAAACAAAACAAAACAGGAAAGAATTAGAGTTTCTAATTTGTTCTAATTTTTTTCTTTTTAATTTTAGATTTTCAATACTGAGAATCAGGGGTTGGTTTACTCTTGAAACTTAAACACACTCCCTCGTCAGGGATTTCAAGGCTCCCTGGGGCAGACAGCTTTGTGTCCTCAGCCAGGATCCCAGCCCTTTGCTTTAAGTTCACCTTTCTGTGTTGGTCCGGTTCCTAGCGTGCCCCTCTTTGTTTGAGCCCCCATGTTTGTCTTTATGTCTTTATGCTCATTTCTTCATTTCCTCCTCTGCTTCCCGTCAGCCTCCCAAAAAGATATGGGACTATACTCCTGGAGACTGCTCTATCCTTCCTAGAGAGGATAGAAAGGTAATTCCGTGCCTCCTCTGCGGACTGTGTGCTAGACTTCTAGTTTTGGGTGCCGTGAGTGTGTTGTGGGTTTGTGTTCTTTTCTTGAATCTTTTTTGTTTGTTTGTTTGGTTTGGTTTGGTTTTTAACTTAGTAACTTGTTTGGCCTGGTGATGAAATTATGTAATAAAGTCTGTGGGACGTATACTAATGTTTAGAGGTTTTTAAAACAACTGTTGTCACAGTCATTATGCTCTGACACAGAGGAAGCAGGCCTTTCCTCCCAGGTAGGTTTTTGTGGCATTAGTAGTTCTCCTTAGACGTAGAATAGATCTCTAAAGCTCTACTACTTAGGATTTCACTGAACTTGCCTGACGTTGCTCTTTCTGTTTTCATGTCTTTAAACTAATTTCTAGAGATATCTTGTGATTGAATCAGTCTACTGTGACCCTATTAAAATATGACACACACAAAACCCACCTCATTTTCAAACTTAACCTTCCATACCTTTGTCTTTTTTCTAAACTAAAACATTCTTTCTCATCTTTTCTTTCTTGAACCAGACTAATCTAGAAAAAGATCTCAACTTCTGCCAAACAGAGTTAGAGGCAGATTTAGAGAAAGTGGAGACGATTAATAAATCACCCAGTGCAAACCCGCCACAGGTATTTCCCAGTTTTTCTCTTGCTGTTGGTTCCTTTTCAAGCCCTGCTTCTTATTTTCTGTTTTCCTCTCTGTTCTTTGGTTTTCCTGTTGTGGAGATGGCAGAGGGTGACGCTGCTAGCTTTAAGATGCATGGTTTTTTGAATCCTGTTTACACACGTACATGTACTGGGTCAATTTTTTGTTTGGAATCCTTTGGAGCTTGGCATCTTCCTTAAAGGGCTTTTCAAATGCATACAGTATGGTTGATGATTTAAAATCTCACCTACTCACCATGCCCCATATTTCATCTTCGATGACCTTCAAAAGTTCTTTCCCTTGCCTTCTTTGAATTTCCAGAGTGCTATTTGGGGAGCCAGTTTTTCTTATCTTTTTTTGTAGCCCTGGGAGAAGCCAACCTCAGAGGTCATTTTGAGAGACATGGTAGCAGTAACTGGGCTAAGACGTTGTCAGAGCAATGGTGTTTTTCATTGGAAAGGTCAGCAGGTTCACAATAGAAAACATACTCCAGATATCAAACTACCTGGACACAAGCATTGGAAACTGGGCCTGTGTTGGTATTTTTAAAGGGGGCTGTGTTAAAAGGCAGGAAGGGATAAGGAGAGAGCCAGCCCAGGGTAAACAAGCTTTGGGGGGGAAGCTGAATGTTTACTGAAGTGTGTGCTGGGTTCCCAGATAAAACTGGAGAGACTCTTATGAGCAAAGAGTGGCTTTAGAAGAAATCAGATGTGGACACTGCTGCAGTGGCCAGGAAGGGCCACAGACTATGGGTCTGTGCTAGATGTAAACATTATTGAGACAGGGCCAGAGACTGGTTCAAGGAAGTTGGGCACAAAAGTTAGGTGAGTGGCTAGAGACTCAAACCCAGGAAATGGCAGAGAAACTAGGATTTTATGATAGCCTTCCTGTGGGTCTGGAATAAAAGAGTGGGAAGCCAGTGAGCTGTGGCAGTCATAGATGCCTCCTCGGGCTCCAGAGAGCTACCAATGAATGGAGACAGGATTGGGTGGGCTCTCCTGAAAGGAGGCAAAGAGGTAAGTTGTCACAAAGTCAGCTGAGAAGCACAGGTGATGGAGGTGGAGAAGGTGCAGTGTGATTCTGGATTTCTAACCAGGTGGATACTGAGGCCTGGTTTAACTATGTAGGGTTAACGATTCAAGGAAGAAACTGTCCCAACCTGTTCTGGAGTAAGTTATGTCTGTGGGTATGCCCTAACAACAATGGCCAACATGCAGGAAGAGAGGTCTATAGTAATAGGTTGGCCAAAGTGAATCAAGAGATGCTTTTATGGTACTCAGGCGTCTGCAGCTTATGCAGAGATGGGGACACAGCTAGAGCTGACAGCTACCTCTGTTAGGGCCCGAACCCTGGTGCAAGAAGTGTCTGATGCATCTGCAAACCATTTCTACTGGCCATTTGACTGGGGCTATTCGTCTTAAGCATATGTGAGATGTGCTTTCCGGGGTTCTGTACATACACATAAGAGACTGCCTTCAGGACATGACAGTTGAGTCCAGACTTAATAAGGATATCCATTTTGAGGCCCTTGGGAAACACTCTTTCTGAGTGTGTGTGTTCAAAGGACTAAGACAGGTTAGCTCAACTAGAAATCTGAGTGGGAACAGTGGGGATGGGCAGGTTTGGGAAAGAGTGTAGACTCAAGTCTGTGACTAAGAAGATGCTGGGTTTTCCTTCAGACCACTGGTGTAGCTAAAGAGGTCTCTCAAAGAGAGAGAGAGAAAGAGAGAGAGAGAGAGAGAGAGAGAGAGAGAGGGAGGGAGAGATTCCCTTAGAGAAGTTGAATTGAAGGTAGAAAATGCTACTGTCAGAAGGTAAGGAGGCCACTCCAGGAGTCCAAACAGACAGTGGTGGGAGTCCACGCTGTGTTAACACCAACACGGGGCAGGGGGAGGATAGACGGAGAAAGGCTGCCAAGAGAGTTACAGTGGGGCAGCTTAAGTAGTTGGCATGAGGAATGATGAGCTGGGGGAAAGAGATAGAAAACTTCAGGGTTTGGGCCAGACAGCCAAAAGAGTAAGGATATCAGTATGTTGAAGGAAGCTAGATGGAGATGTAGTGTAGAGGCGAAATCATGGGTTTGGTTTCGAGTATTTGGCTCCTGAGGGGCTGGATTTGGATCAAGTAGGGATATCCAGATGGCTGAAACTCTAAGACTAATCTTAGGAAGCAGGCATGTGCTTAAAAAGCTTATCAGAGTTGCCTGCAAGGTGGTGATTGTGGTGGTCTGGGAGTCGATAAAGACATCCACTGGCAGCATGTGAAAGATTGAGAGGTAGGGACCAACAGCTATTCACTGGGATGCTGGGTGACATTAACAAGACAAGGAGAGGCACAGGAAGGACAGTTCATAGAGATGGGGGAATGTATGATCAAGAGGAGAAAGGCAGAGCAACCTAGCTGCTGCAGAGATATCTGAAGAAATGGATTTTGGGGTGGCAGGGTGGCTCAGTGAGTGAACTTGCTTGCTGTATAAGCATGACAACCCCAGTCCCACTCCCGGAACTGGATGGAGTGGGTGGAAAGATAGAACTGACGATGTTGTCTTCTGGCCCCCCTATGGGCACCGTGGCACACACACTCTCTCTGACACAGTAGTAAACAAATAGATAGTTTTAGAAAGAAACTCCTAGGATAGATCCACAGAACAGATTATAGAAATTTGTAAAGACTTTTGTTTCTGGGTGTTAGAGTTTGTGAAAAAGAATCAGAGAATCCTGCAGGGGTGTAGCCTTATTGAGGACATATGGGGAAGAGAGATGTGGATGAAGGGAAGGAGAATATAGGAGAGGATGGTGATGATCCCAGAAGGACTTAACAGGGCTGTGTCAGCATTTTTCAAAAGTAGAATCCCAGTATGGGGCAAATGCCAAGAGGTAGGAGCCTCATGACAGGAGGTGGGCAGGCAGTACCAACATAGCGAGAAGGGCTAGGGGATGGTGGGAGGAATAGCAGAGCCTTTGTGAGGTGAGGAAAGGAAGGCAAGCCTCATCCTGGGACAGCAGTGCCTCTAAGGGAAAAGGACCCACACTGACAGTCGGGGATGTATTTCTGCAGGCCAAAGGCTAAGCAAGGAGCCACCAGTGAAGTCACCTCCTTTCCTGTGGTCTTCTCTTCTTTGATCCAACAGCAATCTTTCCCTCCATTTTCTATTTCTTTCTTTTCCTCCCTTCTCCAGGTGATTTGTTTTCCTTAAAATGGTTATTAGTAGAGATGACAGTCATTATTAAATATGACTATCTGTAAAAATTAACTTCTACATTGATTTATTTAACACAGTACATTGAACAGTTGGCATTTTTTTTTCCTTCAGTTCAACAAAAGAACCTCTGAATTATGTAATTACATTGCTTTCCTTTTCTAGTACCTCTGGGCTTATTTCTTCCTTTTTTCTGGCCTGTAGTTTTAGGATGCATCCCGCAACCTGTACTGACAGTATTTGTTACTGGAAAGAAATTGTTACTCAAAAGAAATTGTGTCTTTATTTTAACACTATCCAATCTACAGGCATGAATGAATTGTGTAAATACGGTGTGATCATCTTAAAATGCATTTTAAGATGTAGTCTCTACCTAGAACATTGTGTGCCCGCTCCTGGGTGTGGCATTTGGAGGGCATGAAAGCATCTACAATGGGCTTGGCAGGGCGTGTGAGGATTGGGGAGGACAATAAAGGGGCTTCTCCTTCCTGGGGTTGCAGCTGAGGATAAATGTGAGCTGAAGTCCATGTCCAGGCTCACCTATGTTTTTGGCTGCATCTCCTATGGGGCAAAAGATGAGAGCCTGGTACCCCCAAATCTTTCCTAGCCCCAAAGTTTTTGTGTCCAAGCCTCTTGCCCTTAGAGGCACTGTCTACATGACCAAACTGTAATGACTTGTGTTCCTCCCCCCTTTTACTTTATTTTTTTTGCTTTGCAACCTGTTAACACAAATCACTGGGTTTCTTTCGTTTTACATTGTTCCTTTTTCATTTTGACTTTTACAGAGCTCAGCAGTCAGCCCGACTCCAGACATTACCTCAGAGCCTCCTGGATAGTAAGTAGCCACTCCTGTGTTTTCATGGCTCAGTGTAGCAAGGGCTAGACAAGGGTGAGAAAGGCTGGTGGTCTGGACCCTGATTTGTATCTGTGTTATGGTGTCCTGAGGTAGGCAGCAAAGCCTTTACCTCTGGGGAGGGCTCCGGGCAATGGGCTGTCCCATGCTTTGGGCTTTGTCTTCCAGTAGTTTAATGGTATTGTAGTTTTCAAATTGGTTATCTCTTGTTCTCTCTTCTTTCTCCCAATTACTTTTACAGCGATTCATGATGCCTTTGATAGCTTTATCCCAGGCTGATGTCTTTTTGGAATGTGAATTTATTTGTTTGTATTTATTTTAATTTTACTTTCTTCGCACATGTATGTGTGTGATATCTGCGTGTGGCTGTGGAGGTCAGAGGAGAAGCTTTGGGAGTCAGTTCTCTTTTCACTGTGAATCCTGGGAATCTAATTAGGTTATCAGGCTTACAGGTGCGTCTGTCTAGCAATCTTATTGCCTTATTTGTCTACATTGGAATCAAAATTGTCTTCAGTGAATCCCTGAGGGAAGGGAGTGTAGCTATTATGTACCTGACCTGGAATGAAGATAGAGGAGCAGGTAGTGGAATTGGTCCTCAGGCCGGCCTTGCCATGCAGGACGTAGGGCCTAGATGGTCACATGAACATTTTTTTTTTTTAATTCTGCCAATTTTTAAAATTTTGGCTGCATGCCAGGTGGTATGGTGAATGCCTTTAATCCCAGGGAGGCAGAGGCAGGTGGATCTCTGAGTTCGAGACCAGCCTGACAGCCTGGTCCACAGAATGAGTTCCAGGACAGTCTATACAGAGAAACTCTGTCTTGAAAAATAAACCAACAAACAAAAAACCCCAACAACAACAACAATAAAAAGATTTTGGCTGCACAGTGCATGTATCCCCATACACTTTTTCATGGAGTGTCTGATACTGTCTAGGGTTACAGGAAGGGCTTTATTTTCTCTGACAATTAATTTTAAAAGGCAGGAAAGAAATGAAAATCTTGGGGTGTCCCAACAGAGCTGCCTTCTGATACCTGGGAAATTCGGTCTCCTCTTAGTTCCTAGTTTCCTTAATAAAAGAGTTTAAGAATGGATATGCCTGAGAGCTTGAGTGCACGGCATTAGAACATAAAAGGAGAACCACAGGACAGGCAGGCGGTCAGTCTGTGGCTGCCTGGAAGGAGAAGGAACAAAAGCACAGCTCCTGGAGATAGAGGCAGTTCCAGGTCAGCCACCTGGCAGCGGGCAGCCACGTGGCCAGCGGGAGCTTTTGAAAAAGTAAGGCAGCCCAAACTGTGAGTTAGGGAGTTTAAAAGCATACTTGAGTCCTGGCCAGCAGCAGAAAGAAAGACACAAAAGGAAAAAAAAAAAAAGAAAATAGTCACACCTTTCTAAGTCAGGTTTCAGAAAGGCTTGCAGGTCGAGCTGAACCTTGGTAGCTAGATCCCCAAGGACTGCTTGGGGTGGGAATTCTGGGAATTATCATAAGGCAAACCTGACTTACTAAAGGCGATTCCCATAGCCAGGCCACCAACCCTCCCCGTCGGATCAGCCTTTACAGGAGGAGACAGGGCCTGGTCTTCACCTAGAGGCAGATTCCGTTCTTTACATAACCACAAACTCCCCCAACTCTGATCCTCTCCAAGAATGCCTTTCCCAGGGCTTTTCCATGCCGCTCTTATCCCCACTGAACATTTCCAAGGCTACCCTTATCTTGCTTCAGTGGTTCCGTAGCAGACTGCAAGTTCTTAAGCTGTGTAAACAAGCAATGACTGAACTTTCTTTTGCCCAGGCTCCTGTCAGTGCTTCTTCTGGCTTCTGCTGCCAATCCCCTGAGTTATTTGTGTATACTTCCCTAATTGCTAATTAAAACTTCTTAAGGACAAGGCCTCCCATCGCCAGGGTGCCAGGGAGACCTGATAAACTTGAGGAGCATTTTGGTTGCAGTGGGGATTTAAACAGAGACTTCCCAGGCACCCCTGCTTCAGGGTTAGCCAGTGCTAACAAGGGCTCCCCCCCTTCACCCCTTCTCCCTGAACTGCTTCACCGGCTGAGTGCCCAGCTCAGTGAATTCCCTAGCTCTGCCAGTGCTATGCTGTTTATCACAATAGGAGTTTTGGTATGACTTGACTGTCTGGGGGAATCCCCTCGCCCTTAAAATGAATATAGTAAGTGAAATGCAAAGTGTCAGTGAAATGAAGTATGTAACGGTGAAAAGTATTTACAGTCACTACTGTGGTCAGTCAGGGTTAAGAACACGGGTCTCAACATTTAAGTTTACCGAGAACAGACTTTTGAGCTAGGTCCTCTCTTCACATTTATTTCTCTGAGCATCCCAGGAGCAGGTGTCATCATCAGTCCCCAGTGGATAGGTGAGGGAATGGGCACACTAGGACAGTTCTATAGCTGATGTGTGAGTGCTCTACCCAGTGTAATGGCAGTGACACTCTGGGCCAGGTGTCAGAAGTAGAACCTCATCTATGCCGCTTCGAACTTAGTAGTAATGTAGCTGAAGGTGTAATAAAGCTTGCCAATTTCAAGCTCTTAAATACAATGTAAACAACTCTTTGCAGTACTAGCATTTCAATAGTTACTGTCACACATTTCAGTGTGTCTGGTTTTATATTTTATTCTCCAAGTACTTCCAGACCATTAAGTTTGTAGTTTTCATCTAACCATTTCTTATCATTTCAGCATATTAAAGCTGTTTTCGCCTACCTGAAAGAGCTTTACTCCTGTTTAGCCAGCAGGTGGCACTCAAGGAAAAGCTGTTCTTTCTGAAGCAGCAGAAACTAGTTTCATTAATATGAGACCAAAACACAACCTGAAGAACTATATAAAATATTGGAGATTCCCCAGCCCCTAAAAATACACCATAAGCCAATGTGCGTGTAGGCATTTGACTTTAGAATCATTTATTCCACCCGCATTTGTTAAGCGACTTTACTGGACACCAGGCTTAGGAAGATTAACATACAACCTGCCAGGTTCAGTGTATAAAGTATATTTGTTCTGGGTAACTTGAATCCAGTACAGCAGATGTAATGCTGAGATCCAGAGGCGGGTGGTCACCTCTTGGTGTCTGGAGGAGGAGGGATCAAGGAAGGCTTTATAGAACAAACAAACAAAAACAAAAACAAAAAAAAAGGAACAAGAACATCATATTATTAGATTTTTAAAGAAACGGATATTTTTTTTTATCCATCACAAAGTGCTGTAAGATGGAACTAACTCCCAGAGGAGTGTAAGACTCCCTTCCACAAAGCTACAGTAATGACAGTTGCCTGTTTTTCTTCCTGAAGTCAAATGATTTTTGAACAGGGAAGATTTTTTTTAATTTTATTTTATTAATTACACTTTATTCACTTTGTATCCCTCCTATAAGCCCCTCCCTCCTCCCCTCCCGGACGCACCCTCCCTCGCCCTTCTTCTCGAATGCCCCTCCCCAAGTTCACTGATAGGGGAGGTCCTCCTCTCTTCTGATCTTAGTCTATCAGATCACATCAGCAGTGGCTGCATTGTCATCTTCTGTGGCCTGGTAAGGCTGCTCTCCCCCTCAGGGGGAGATGATCAAAGAACAGGCCAATCAGATTATGTCAGAGGCAGTCCCTCTTCCCATTACTATGTAAGCCACTTGGACACTAAACTGCCATGGGCTACATCTGTGCAGGGGTTCTAGGTTATCTCCATGCCTGGTACTTGGTTGGACTATTAGTCTCTGGGAAGTTCCCTGTGTCAGATCCCCTGGAGCTGGAGTGATAGCAGGTGTGAGCTCTCCGAAGTGCTGGGAGCCGAACAGCAAGAGCAAGGTGCACTCTTAACTGCCGAGCCACCTCTCCTGGGCTGGAAACTTTTGTCGGTTGTGTCCCTTGTTGAGTTTTTCTACCTATGAGAGTAATTGACACATAGAAGGTGCTCAATAAGTACTTGTTTAGTAAATCAACACACGTTGGATCTCCGTATCTTTCCTCTCGATAATACCAACAGTGATGGCAGGGAGTTGGGGCTAGAGGCTGGGAGGGTTTACATGTTGCAGGATCACAGATAAGTGATAATGAAATAACAACTGGGGAGTAGAGAGGGCAAGGAATTAATGTAGAAAGCAAAGTTTGATGGCTGATAGTTTAGGGAGAAATGAGGGGGAAAGGGCTGACCTCTTAGGCTTCCTGCTTGAGTCAGGGCAGGGAACTGACCAGAGCCAGCTTTGGTTTAGGACATACTAGGTTGGAGATGTTTGAAGAACATCCAGGGGATATGCCTGGCAGTCATCTTGGAGTCTAAATGAAAGGTATGCAGGTTTGCTGGTGGATTTCCTAGACAGTCTCACCATGAGTGTTGATTTTGCAAATGAAAGAAACTGAAGCCAAGAAAATCATCTTGTTTGCAAACTTTTAAACAACTTAAGCTTAAGCACGTCTCAGCTGGTGCCTTCTCTGTTGGAATCTGGCTTTTCAATACCCCATCCATGCTCCCAGACTTCTCTGCTAACACACACAGAAGCAGCGGACTGAGACTGTTTGCTCTGCCTCTCACTTTATTTTTCCAGGGAGTATGTCTTTGTTGAAACCTCTTAAAACTCCACAGCCAGCTCTGCTTCTCAGCCAGAGGCTTAGTTCTCTGCCCTGTCTTCTGGCTCACTTAGTCTGACCCAAATCTGACTCAACACAAACTTCTCAGAACTGAGATTTCAGACATGACTGCTTTTGTTTAATGTCAGTAGCTGGTAATTCTGATTGTATCTCTGTCACTTAGCTGAGGAGCCAGTGTGACTTCTCAGCTCTGATGTTTTTAGCTATAGCAAAGTCCTATGAACTCTGGGCCCTTAAGCAAATGCAGTCATTGCTCTGGTCCTCGGTTTTCTCTCTTGAGCAGTGGAACAAATGGCCTAACATTAGAGCAGCTGTTAGAGAGGATATCTTTAAAAACATGTCTTTAAAAAGCTCTCAGATACTGTTCTTAAATAATGTACCTCAATGTACCTTGGGCATCTAGGGAAAACATTCTTTTGTCAGCATTGGTATCAGAAACAAAACATTTGGCTGTAGTAACTGCATTCCCAGAGGTTTCCTGAGTGCTGGCTTGTCATTCTGTGGGAAGCAGGAAAAAATAGGTGGGACACGGAGACCAGGCAGGCTTGGTGGGGGAGTACTTAGGGCTGCTGAGGTAGAGGCCTTAGGTGAGGCCAGGCACTGTGAGAGAATAAAGATGGGTTGAAACTCTGACTGAGGGAGAAGTGATTCAGAACACACAGGTGGCACGGTGGAAGTTGTTCAAGTTAACCTCAATGCCAAGGACTAGGCAGGGTCCACACGCCAGAGTCCTCAGTCCCCTTAGGTGGGGGTTGACAAAGGCACAGTTATGTGTGGATAGTTTTGCAGTTGAGGTTTGTACAAAAGGGAGAAAATGTGGTGTTACACTGATTTTTAATTAGGAAACCCAAAGTGTAAAAGCCAATTTAGATGAACATCCACCTTTTTGAAGGTGCTATCTATAGAACCACCTCAGGGTTCACCAGTTTTAGTAGGAGCTGATTTTTTTTTTTTTTCATCAGAATCTTGAGGTGGGAGGGTGGAGTGTTTATGAGCATACCCTGTGGACCAGAAGCTGCATGGGCAGAACCTCTCCAGGCCTAACCTCTGAGCCTAAGAAAGCCAAATCTTTTCTCTGCAGACAGGTTTGAGGGGTACCTGTGATGACAGCCAACCTTTACCATGATGACTTTCAGTAAAGATCCTTCCACCATGTTATGGTTCCTGGCCACTGATGTTGGAATCTCTAAATCATCTTTTTTTTTTTTTAAGGAATTTCTAAATTCATGGTTTTACATACTAAGACATATCATTCATCAGCCCAAGTATGCCAAGTCTTACATTTAGAAAAGGTAACCACTTATTCATTCAGAACATTGATTGGGTATCCTGATGGGGAGATAGTCCAGTGGGCTTCTGGAAATCAAGACAAAGCCATGGGAAAAGGTCAGCTCAGCCTGATTCTCTCTGAGGGGGAGAGGGGACCCAGAAGGCTCCTTGGCACTTCCTTCATTTGCATGTTTTTCAGCCTTGAGACTTGGTTTTCTTGTCTTTTGGGTTCCAGTGATTTTGTTTGTTTGTTTGTTTGTTTCAGCTGAGAAAGGAAAATTGCTTTCATCCATGCTATGGAGAGTAAGAGGGATCTGTAGCTTCAGGCAGGTCCCCTGAAATAGTGATGAGTATGGGGTAGGGCAGTTGTGAGGGCTGTACTAGTGCTAGACACATGTAGCAGAGACAGCACTGCCTCTTTCAGGAGGATCCTCTCCTCTTTGATTCCTGGGTTCTGGTACCACTTGTTCCTGGGATAGAGTTTTGACAGATGTTGCTTGGTGATAATGACACAACAAGACTCAAATACCCTTGACTCCTGCCCTGTGTGAATCACGATTGCGTTGGCCAGAGGGAAGTATTCTAAGACACCGTTGGAGAATACAGTGTACATGGCATTCGGTGGTGTGACTGGGGTTCTGGCTCTGCAATCTGCCGATTCTGCTTGCTTTGGCAGGCTGTCTAATTTATCAGCACTTCATTTCCTCATCTGAAAAGTGACAGACTCGTGTGTGTGTTAAAGAGAGAGAATGACCGCCAGGCACTTAATACAATGCCCTTCATGTTGTAAAGTTGTTTTTTTAATCTTTTTTGCCATTGTTGTCTGTAATTATGGGTCTTGGAGGCTGAGGCTCTGCACAAAATAAAAGGCTGGGTTTGTGGAATATGAAAAAGTTCCATCAGTAGGCAGGCAGGAAGACAAATGAATATATGTGTGATAAGGAAGTACCATTCAGTGTTCCCTGGAGAACCTAAGTGGGGCTGATGTGAGTGTCCACTCTTACCATTCTTTAAACTTTCCTATATACTTGATGATATAATAAAGTGTTGGGGGTAAATGAACTCCATGAGGTCATAGGTCTTCAAAATTGACAAATCTTTAATGATGGCAGTAAACTGATTTCATTAGGATCGAAAGTATGTAGCAGAAGCCTGTATACATTTATGAGAAAGACATCATTCTCTTCTTGGGGAATACGGAGTAGAGAGAGGGGGAGAAGAGACAGAGTATGTGTCATGTTAATGCTTCAGCAGGTTAGACCACAGAAAAGTAGTCATGCAAATGGAGGAGTTCAGTGAGTAAATACTTTGTGGTTTTGTTTTTTTTTTCGTGTCCCTTACCTCATTCCAAAAAGAATTTGTAGTAACTTGAAAAATGCCTAGATTTCAAACAAGGTAAAATAAGAGAGGGCCTGCAGCAATGGCTCAGTGGTGGGGAGTTCTCACTGCTCTTGTGAAGGACCCAGGGTGGCTTCCAGCAGCTCACAGCTGCCCTCTCCTGGCTCCTGTGGGCACCGCACCCATGTGGTGCACATACGTGCACATGCGGGCACCCACTCATACACATAAAATAAAAATAAATAGACCTTTAAAATGTAAATGAAACAGGAGCTGGAGACACGGCTCAGGGGTTAAGAGCACTAATAGCCCTTCAGAGGACCCAAGTTCAGTTCCCAGCACCCAACCATTCGTAAGACCAGTTCCTGAGGATACAGTGGTGCCTTCTAACCTCTCTGGGCATCAGGCATACATGTGGTGCATATACATACATGCAGGCAAAACATACATATATATTTATATATATGAAACATTCGTATATATTCATTCATATATTAACATAAATTAAAAAACAAAGTTTATACTTTAAAAATAAATGAAGCACATAAATGGACAACAGTGTGTAGATGACACTTGCTCTCAGGTTCGGACAAAAGCTTTGAGAGAAGTCAATGCAGGATATGGCTGTGGCATTGGGCATTGTGGTGCATGCCCCTAGTCCTAGATACTGAGGAGATGGAGGCAGGAAGATAACCTGGGCCAAAAGCTCAGGACAAAACCCTACCTCTGATAAGGCCACAAAGAGTTCCAAGTTCTGGTTTACTCAGGTGCTGATTTCCTGGAGGACACAGATCACTGGGGCTCTTCTTCCATTTACATATTTTGATGCTTCTGTCAGCCAAAGTTCTCATGCAAAGTAACTCAGAAAAACACAATTTAGGTCACGGACTTTAACTGTCCGGCCACACTCGGAACTCTGTATCCTCCACTCTCGTCCCTAGAGGTATCATCTTGTGTGGAACCACTGGACTCCCCGTTATCCTACCCATAGGTCTTGTTTGTTTGTTTGTTTTTGTTTTTTAGAGATAGGGTATCACTGTGTAGCTCAGGCTGGCTTCAAACTTACATTTCTCTTGCCTCAGCCTCCCAGGTGCTGGGATCACAGGTCCTTATTTATCCTTTTAAAGCAGTCATTGCTGTGTCAGAGCTTTGTTGCTTAGGCCGTGTTTCTGTGTACCCAGGGCACACAGCCTGCCTGTCTAAATCAGTGGTTCTCAGCCTTCCTGATGCTGTGACCCTTTAATACAGTTCTTCTTGTTGTAGTGACCCCCAACCATAAAGTTTTTATTGCTACTTCATAACTGTAACGTTTTAACCGTTTTGAATCGTAATGTAAATGTCTGTGTTTTCCAGTGGTGACCCCTGTGAAAGGGTCTCTTGACCCCCCAAAGGGATCACAAACTACAGGTTGAGAACCACTGCTCTAGATGAACAAGGCCTGAGAAAGCCCAGGGCTTTCCCAGGAAACCAGAAAGCAGTTTCCTTCTCCTCAGCTGGTGACAAACAGGCTTTTAAGAAGAGTGTTAAACAAGCTAACTTTGTGTTTCTCCCCACCCCCTCTTCTCTTTTAAAATTACCTTTCCAGTATCTATTCTTCCAACTTCCATGCAGTGAAGAGAGAATCAGATGGGAGCCCCGGGGGTCTCGCTAGCTTGGAGAATGAGAGGCAGATTTATAAAAGTGTCTTGGAAGGTGGCGACATCCCTCTTCAAGGCCTGAGCGGGCTCAAGAGACCCTCCAGCTCAGCTTCCACTAAAGGTAACCAGCAGGCTGAAGACTGCAGGCATCTCTCCTACATGCCTGTCACCTGAGTGTTGGCAGCGGGTGGACCTCCAGCAACAGGGACAAGCTCTGCCTCAGGTCCATGTCCAGGCCTTGGAGCCTTCTTGCGCCCCCTCACCTATTTTCTTGCCGGCCATTTTTCTTTCTGGTATTAATGGTCCCCACCCCCAACCTTGCTCTCTAAAACATCTCTCTCTTTCTCTCTTTTGTTCTAATATCCTTTTCCGAGAAGTTAGCTGAGCTTCAGTCTTTCCTAACTGGCAGGGTGGCCATTTCTTTTGTTGCATCTTTGCACCTGCTTTGCAGCACAAATTATTTTGCTTCTGGACATCAATTGGAGACTTTTTAAAGCCCTATGACAAATATGACAAATGAGCATGTTACCTCTCCTTTTTTTTTCTTTCTTAAAAGCAGCTTTCAGCTTTAACCTAATGGGTGTGTTTATTTTATTCTGCATGCTTACCAGTGGATCGTAAAGGCGGGAATGCTCACATGATTTCTTCATCATCAGTTCATAGCCGAACGTTTCACACTAGCAATGCTTTAGGCCCTGGGTGTAAGCACAAGAAACCCCTGTCGGCTGCGAAAGCCTGCATTTCGGAGATCCTTCCTTCTAAATTCAAACCCAGGCTCTCTGCTCCCAGCGCTCTTTTGCAGGAACAGAAGAATGTCCTGTTGCCGTCAGAGAAGGCTCAGAGCTGTGAGAACCTTTGTGTCTCTTTGAATGATTCCAAAAGAGGCCTCCCACTCCGAATTGGGGGGAGCATCGAAAACCTGCTCATGCGCTCCCGGCGGGATTACGACAGCAAGTCCAGTAGCACCATGAGCCTACAGGAGTACGGCACCAGCGCCAGGAGGCCCTGCCCTCTCTCCAGAAAGGCTGGACTGCATTTCTCCATGTTCTACCGGGACATGCACCAGATCAACCGCGCCGGCCTCTCCTTAAGTTCCATCTCCTCTTCAAGTGTGCGGGATCTTGCCTCCCACTTTGAAAGGAGCAGCCTGGCGTTAGCCAGGGGTGAGCTGGGCCCTAGCCAAGAGGGCTCAGAGCATATCCCCAAGCACACCGTGTCCTCCCGTATCACGGCCTTTGAGCAGCTCATTCAGAGGTCCCGGTCCATGCCATCCCTGGACTTCTCTGGCAGGCTGAGCAAGTCCCCGACACCTGTGCTGTCTAGGAGTGGCCTGACCTCAGCTCGTTCAGCCGAGTCCCTCCTCGAGTCTACCAAGCTCCGTCCCAGAGAGATGGATGGGATAGACTCTGGAGGGATCTATGCATCCCCCACATGTAGCAATATGGCGGACCATGCCTTGAGCTTCCGGAGCCTTGTGCCTTCTGAGCCCCTTTCCATCTGCTCAGACGAGCTAGACCACTGTTCAAATGTTTCTAATGACAGCAGGGAGGGCAGTGGGGGCAGTGTTCATGGAGACTTCCCCAAACATCGCCTCAACAAGTGCAAGGGCACCTGCCCGGCCTCGTACACCCGCTTCACCACTATCCGGAAGCACGAGCAGCAGTCCTCCAGGCAGCCAGACTGGCGCTCGGATTCCAGGGGGGACAGGAACAGTCTCCTCAGAAACATCCACCTGATGAGCCCCCTCCCTTTTCGATTGAAAAAGCCCCTCCAACAGCACCCCAGACAGCCTCCCCACAATGACTCCTCAGGGTCCCCTGCTGGCCAGAAGGCAGACCTTCCCTGCCAGGGCCCTCAGGACCAGCCCCACCCTACGGGGAAACCCATGGTCCCCACCCGTCTGTCTTCCCGACACACCATGGCAAGGCTTAGCTACAACTCAGAACCCCCTCTGGACATATCCGCTGGCCTGGAGGATTGCACAAGGGCAATTAATAACGGGAACCCTGTGCCCTACTCAGACCATGGCTTGGACAGGAACAACAATCCACAAAGTGAACTGGCAGCGGCCCATGGAGGTGGCATTTTGTGTGTTTGACCAGTCTCATCTCCCCCGTCTCCACTTGGCTTGCTCTGTCCCTCCCTCTGTGTGCCCTTGGTGCTCATCTTCTCGTCTTTTGCTTCTGTTTGTTTTGCTTGGCAATTAACCATGGCTTGTAGTGGCTGCACTTCTTTAAAAACAAATCCCCCACTTCATTTAGACTAACCAATCAAACTGTTTCGAAAGAAAAATTGGCCGTTTAGCTTGTATTCAAGAAGCGGGTTCATTTGAACTCTCAAGCCCCTGTTTGCATCAACCCCCAGCCTCCCTGTGGTTTTTTGAGAGGCAGCCTCTCTCCGTGGCCCGTGTGTGTGAGTGTATGGTCTGTCCCTGTTAGAGCCTGCACGCCTCTTTGTAGGGACACTTAGAATGTCCCTTTCTTTGCTCACCTTTGACCTCTGGTGAGTTGTCTTTGTATTAAACTGGCTTGCAATAAATCCAAAAGGCAGGTGGGGTGGGGGCTTGGGTTTTTTTTTTTCCTTCAAAATTTGTCATTGAAGTATTAAACAGCAATGTTTATAAACTTGACCTTAATAATAGGGGGGGGGGGGGAACAAACTGACTTCCCACCAGACTTTGGCTCTTTTTAACTCTGCTGTGTTATTTTGAAGATTCAGAGTCACCAAGACATTTTATACCAGCTGATTACTTGGAGTCCACAGAAGAATTTATTCGGAGGCGGCATGATGATAAAGAGGTAACTCCTGTCTTTCCCTCATTGCTGTTGTTCAGGGAGGAAAAAAAAAGGACACCTATCAGAATGGTGATGTGTTGCAGTGGCCAGAAGCAATGGTGGCTTTTCATGGGCAACTTCTTATAAGATATGGGCTCCATTTGTTCCTTTGTACACTTTCCCAGAAAGCAGGACAGACTGATTTCCATGGGTTATCAGTGCCACCTCCCGCCAGCCTGTCGCAGGGAGGTGACATGGCCTGTGCTGTATGGACGCCTGGGGAGCCTGGAAATGGAGTTTGCATTCTCATTAATTCCTCCCGTGCTGTTTAAGGAAACCCGCCCTCCCATTTCTCCAGTACTCACAATCCGCACAAAGCATATTTCACGTCAAAGAGGACTGCAGTGGGAAAAATACAATGACAGTGCTGGCCACTCTGCATTTTATAAACAATCTGAAGAAGCTGCCTGCATGTCGGCCAGCTTTAGCTCAGAAGGGAGATACCCACGTTAGTGCTGGCAGACTCCACACACAAGAACTTCGGGGCCTGGGCGTTTCCTTGGAGCTACTGAAATGTCCCTAAGTAGGATGATTGTCAGGGCCTGGATTCGAGCCTGTGCTGGAAATATGGGAAAAGGTCGTCCTGTGTATTGGCGAAGCGGGTGGAACCTTCGTCTGCCATGATAGAGTATTACGGTGCACATGTTCTGGCTGCACGTTCCCAGGAGAGGGGGATCCCATAGATTAGATAAGTCAAGCATCCACTTTCCTGCTGTTTATTTGTTTAGAGATGCAAGGATACTTTGAACTGCTAGCAGTGAAGGAGGGTGTTCAAGCATGACAACGCTCCCCACCCCCTTTTTTATATTGGTCTAGCTTGAGTGGTTCCAGAGCTTAGGTGGAGTTTCCTGTAGGATTTAAGACAAGGCTGGCTTTGAGGACTCTGGTTATAATCATTGTTGTTGGATGGTAGAAAATGAATGTGCCTCTCCTTGCCCTCCAGGCATGGCTGTCTGTCCACGTTGTACTTGCCTCTCAGAAGCCAGTGGAGGGTGTTCGTTGCCCAAAATTGTTAAAATTACCAAATTTGACACTCACAAATGATGGGTATCTGTCAGGACTCAGAGTACATTTCCTTCCAGATTATCTGTGCACGCTCTGTCAGAGAGACAAAGCTCTCATGCCACGAGAGGGAAGATTCCATTCAATTTAGTAACAAAATCCTAGTATTCAATATAGCAGGTTTGATGGGTGAGTCTTACCCAGAGCTTGTTTTACTAAGGTGGCTTAACAGTGAATCCATTAAAAACTGTATATTCAATGTGAGAAGCATTCATCCTTGATGGTGCTGAGATGGCTAAGCCACAGAGCTGGGAGATTCTCCAATTCAGGTTTAAGTATGAGGGTTAAGCCTTTTCTATTTGATATCTGTTCCATGGATAATGAACTGTCAGGTGGAGCACCAATGCCTTTGAACAGGGCCTCAAGCATGAGTCCATCCCCACTGCTATAGAAACTGTCCAGGAGGGATTGTTGGCCTGCATCCTTTTATATAAATCTATTACTGTTGACAGTGATGCTAACAGCCTTTCAGATAAGGAGACCCTATCTGTTCTTGAAGGTCCTTTAGTAGTCACTAAGCCAATCCCAATAAAAAAGTTTATTCAACAAAGGTATGGCTTGAACTGGGACGCCTCCCAAATGTGCTTGGCCAGAAACAATGGCTCCACTTTCCCAGGACAGCACTTTTTCTATGTCACCGTGCTTTGCAAAGCACTCTCTCATCTTGCTTACTCTTTATTACAGTTTTCTGAGTGCTGGAAGACCCATCGCCATGTGTTGAGTTGGTTTTTTGTAGACCCCAGAGGAAAGCTGGGCCTTTATTCTTTAGAGTTGAATGTCCCCTGAGTCATTCAGTTGTCTGCTAGAAGAAGACTTGCATCTAACTGAGCATGTTAAGAATGACCAGTTCTAATAAATGCTTTCCCACAAGGAGTATTAATCCCAGGAATGAAAATTGCTAGTGGTATAAGGATTAAAATTCTTTTCTATTGGGCCATTAAAATAGGCCAGGAATGGTATTTGGTGAAAAGCAACATGGCCTAATTGAAAAAGTCTTGAATAGAAATAAGTGATTATTTTCTTTTTAAAATATATTCCTTACTTATTGATTGAGAATTTCATGCTACTATACAACGTGTTTGGATCAAATCTTTCCCTTTACTCCCTCTCCTCTAACTCATCCCATACCCCTCGCCCAAGTGTCCCTCTCAACCTTTTAATTTTCTTAATAGGGGTATCTGTTTCTTCTTACCCCGGATGCTATTTTTTTCCTCTACTGTATTCTACATCATTCTATAAAACTCAGCTTCATATCACCTAATGTAGAAACAAGTCGGAGAGATAGCAAGACCCTCTGTCAGCCACATGAAGAGCCTTTGCTGTATGTCCTGACGCCTCCTAGGCCCAGGGGAATGGTTGACTGCCCTGGGAGAAGAGGTGCCACGTTCTCTGAAAGAGGCAGTTCAGCTGTGTAGAGAACATGGTGTATAACTGACAGAAGAAGCAGAAAATGGCCTGACTGCTGCATAGTCAAGACCCATCGACTGAGAGGCTGAGTGTAGTCAGGAGAAAACTGCATGCCTCAATCCTTTCTTGGAAACACTGTGTAAATGAACATATCATTGCTTAAGGCAGGTAGGGATGTCAGCTACCAACCAAACATGATTACAGCGCCTAAACTATATCCTTGAGTCAACTGGCCTTTGTTTCCAGAAATCATGGGCTTTAGACTCAACTCAGAGGTAGTCATCCAGACAGAGGGGTCGTTAGAACCATGTGTCCCCATATCCCAGTGTCCCCAGTATCTTGGTCTTGTACTTCTTCTTGTACTTCCTACAAAGTGTATTGTGGATGGTTACCATGGGAACATAGAAATTGTGTCCATAAGTCCCCTTGACACTGACCCTTAATGTGTCCTCCTTGTTCACTCATACCTTCTTCCTTAGTTGCATATATGGCCATTTTCCATTAAGCTGAACCAGGTGATTCACTGCCCATTTTATGCAATTTCATGGCAGAAACTTTTAGCGGACCAGAGAAGACTTAAGCGCGAGCAAGAAGAGGCCGATATTGCAGCTCGCCGCCACACAGGTGTCATCCCGACGCATCATCAGTTTATCACTAATGAGCGCTTTGGGGACCTCCTCAATATAGATGATACCGCAAAAAGGAAATCTGGGTTAGAGGTCTGTTTTGGTCACCGCCAACTGCTGCTTGACCCAAAGCAATATTTGCCTTCCTTTGGCATTGCCCTCTGTAGGCCAATTTAGTTCTCCAAACAGCAACTGTCATCCTGGCTTCCCTGGCCTTGCTTTGGCTCTTTTGTGGCTGGTGGATAGACATGAGCCCCACTATGTTCTGTGCTATCCATGTTCAGCATGCCTGGCTGTGGGACTGGGATCTGCTGGTGCGCACTCCTGCTGCATGCTTAGAGCATTGGCTGACTCATGAGTCCAGTCCTCTCCATCCTGCATTTGACTGTGATACCATGTTGCATTGTGTTCTGCTTAGAAACTGTGTCTCTTTGGTCATGTGTCTCAGAAACTCTGATATGGACAACCCAGGAAAGAGTTTTCTGTGAAGAGATGGTTAATGAAGATTTCATTATTAATGTTACCTAGTGGCCTTTTATAGGCATTGACAGAGGCACTCAAACTTAGTGACACTGCTGTTGAAAAACTCAGAGAATGGTACTGATCAGGGGTGCTGAAGCATTTCCCTGACGAAACTCTTGATTTCTGCAGCTCAGATAAACCCATGGAGAATATAAGAACACTCTGAGGGAAACCACCTGCTCCCTTAATTTTGACATTTCTAAGCTTAGATTACAAAAGTTTAATATTATAACAGGAATGAAGAGCAAGAATGTAGTGATTTTATCCACGTTTTGCCTCCCACATCAGTGTTAGTATGCTCAATCAAAGGTCACCTCTTGAGGGAGAGTTTTGTTGTTGTTGGTTTTTCGAGACAGGGTTTCTCTGTGTAGCCTTGGCTATCGTGGACTCACTTTGTAGACCAAGCTGGCCTTGAACTCACAAGAGATCTGCCTGCCTTCATCTGCCTCCCTGAGTGCTGCGATTACAGACCTGTGCCATTGTGCCTGACTTGAGTAAGAGTTTGTGCCCTGCCATATAACCTTATGCATCTCTGCTCAAGCTGATGTCTTCTTGGAGACATGTATGATTCTGTGGCATGGGCTGGGCTTGTTGGGCAGGAGAAGTGACATCAGGAACTAGTTACATTTACCTTTTAGCATAACTACTGTTTCTGTCTTTCAAGAGATGGAGGCATCATTAACTATCATTATTAGTAGTATTATTTTACGAAATGAAAGGTCCCTGGAAAGAAGTATTAATGAAGAAAGAAAGAGAGAGAATCTAATTTAAAGAAGGAATTTGGGGGCCAGGTCAGATTCTAAAGTATGGAAAAAAAAAAGAAATGTAACAGGAAAGAAACAAGTTAGCTAGTCTCAGCCCTCTGTGAGTGACAGGCAACCTTAGTGTGACAGCTCTTTTTCAGAATAGTCGTGTCTGAAGACTGCTGCTGATCAGCACTATGCACAGGCCCACCTGTGTGAGGAAGAGGATGGCAGCCTGCAGAACAGCGTTAGGGATACATGGGCCTGCCAGGGCTGTTCAGTGGGAGTGGCTGTGGCACTCTCTTCTTAATGGACCTGCCAGAGTGGTATTTCCCAGATTATGTCAGAAGCCCTAAAGACATACTAAAATGCAGACTCCTGAACCCTACGTATGATGTTTTGAGCCGAGGTGGTGCCTAAGAATTTCCACGTTCGTAAGTATGATGCTTTGTTACAGTGAGGCCCACCTTAAAGAATCACTGTCCTTTAGTTGACTGACAGAATTTAGGCATGAGGCCAGCAAGTGTGGGTGGGTACACCATGCTGTGTAGATAGATTTCAGTGTCACTCAGCAGGAGTCAACAGCCACTAAGTCTGTGTCACACTTTCCCTGTGTGGAGCAGAAGCTACTCAGTTTGTGCGTTTGGAGAGCTGCTGGTAGAAAATCACCTTCATATGTAGTTATATGTCATCCTGGCAAGGCGGCACATAGCTTAAGCCCAGCACCTGGGATGTGCAGTTAGGAGGATCAGGAGTTCGAAGTTATTCAAAGAATGAGCATGTTTTGCTGTAGTATAAATTTTATGGTGTTCACACAGCTTATACAGCTGGGTGACATGGGTGATCCATTTCTCTCACCACGCTTTTTTTCTGATTGTGATTTCTATGAAGTTTTCATCCTTACACTTTTGGTCTTCTATTATGAACGTGTTATTTAGATTTAGCCTTACTCTCACATCCATTCTGCTCCTGTTTACCTGCAACTGCTGAAGTATGTCATATATAGAGGCGTTAGGATGACATGGTATTAACTTGATTATAAGGTGGTTATTCAGTTGCCCCGTAATGTGTATGTATATAGATAGATGGGAACAGCAGCGCAAAAATACAGGATGAAACATTCTTATGGAGAGCCAGTCTCAGTATGTTCTTGTGAGCTCAGCTTTGGAGGAGGAGACAGGAGGACCCAAAGCTCAAGCTAGCCGAGGCTCCAGTAAAAACAGAAACTTAAAACAGAGAAAACACAAAAATTCCTGTGGTGCAATATGACTCTAGAAAATCCCCGTGGAGCCCAAGCCAAGAAGCCTGGAGATGTAGACCAAAGGACAGACAAGTAGAACAGCTTGATGATGCTCTTAGGTGCCTTTTCTTGCCTCCAGGGTTCCATCCCTCCTCCCCCACTCTGCCCATGTCTTATATTATGGTAGAGGACCTACCATGCACTTCATTTCCTTCATGCTGTTTCTCTAGACAGAGGCGAAAGCAGCTGAAGAGGTCAGAGTTGCACTGAGAAAAATAGCTTGTGCATGTGACTTTAAAAAAACATCATGTGTCCCTTAAAAAAAATAATAATTATGTTTAAGGACAAAGAAGAAATATATGCAAGTAGATAAAGAAGGTGGAGATGAAAAAAATTCTAGGCTGAGATATAGCACCTAAATGTACTTGGCTGGGACAGGAGAGAGTGACAGAGGTAGATATTTAGGGGTGAGGGGGGATGTGACCTAGAAGCCTCCACCCAGGTTAGGGATAGCAATCTGATCTAGAGCAATCTAGAGCCCAAGCCAACATCAAAGCAAAAGCATGATATGAGGAAGAATTTGAGGAATGTTATTTGTGCTCCTGGGTGACAGTAGATTAGAGTGAGGAGAAGGTAAAAATCAAAGAAAGCTTTGTGTCTGTGGGAACCAGAGGTCAGATCCAGAGCAACAGGGTTTTGAATTGATGACAAAAAGATACGGGCGTGACTTACAGACAAGCTTAATGAGAATGTGGAGGTAGCTGAGCCTGGCTTTCCAGGTTTGAGTGTCTAGGTGAAAGGAGCTGCCACAGCCAGGTTGGAGTTTCAGTAGGAAGCGATATGCTCAGGGTTTACCCTAGCTGGCTTTTTGGATGATGTCCCAGACTGTAGGGACATACAGAACACAAGATAATGTGATAGGTGAGCCAGCGTCTAATCTGCTTTCAGTTCAGAACTTACACCAGGCAAGTAGAAGTTGCCCCATAAGGAGTAAGGTGATCGGTAAAGCTTCTCTGAAGAGTTCTGACTGACAGTGGCCATGGTCAGCATGACCAAGAGGCTTTTCAAACCATCTCTTACCTCAGTGTGGCCTTCTTGAAGGGGAATTTTCATGCATGACCCAGCTGACTAAACACCACCCATCATTCAGGTGAGGGCAGGTGCTGCAATTGTGCCCAGATTATTGAACCAGAATGAACTCAGAGTGGACCTCTCTGCTTTGCTTTCTAGAAACTTGTGAAAATGTGTCCTTTTCGTTGGTCATCAATCATGATTTTAACTCAGCATTATTTCTTGTGTTTAGATGAGACCTGCCCGAGCCAAATTTGACTTTAAAGCTCAAACACTGAAGTAAGTACTGCCAGCCTTGCTTGTTTTCTTAGCTGCCGCTCTGAGAAATACTGTTTGCTTTAGGGCAAAGAGTTGGAAGAAGCAACAAGGACAGAAAGAAGAAGAATAAACAGTAGGTTATATGCCAGGCACTGTTACATTGCTTACATTAACTCCTACGAGTCAGGACTGTGTTCTGTGGGATGGATGCTGTTATTCCCACTTCCAAAACTTAGAGAACCAGTATGAAGGCATTTAGCCCATGTAGGAGGTGATGGAGTCAGAATTCAAACCCGGCTCCTTGGCGCCTGAAGCTGGCTCTTAGAAATTGTCTCACCCTCTGTCTACATGAATAGGTGCTGTTTGCTTGATTAGGTTGCAGCATGATTTGAGCCAACCTTTAGTGGAAGGAATCAGAACCATTCTCTAGGAATATAACTTGGCCCGTCTTACTGTAGCACTCCCAAAGGAGAAAACCACAGGATACTAGCATTTCCCTAAGTGTATTCCTCAGTAGGTTCATTTTGCATGATGTTTTTAAAAAAACAAAACTAGTGATGGAGAAATGAGTCAGAGATCCACCGTGTAGTATATTTAGCCCCCTGCTCCTGGGGGAGATAGGCTGCTATTGGGATGTTCATGGCTGTGAAATTCAGAGACAAAAGCTGATTTGTTTATTTAGCCCAAATTTATGCAACCAGGAAACTGTTTTATTTTTTATGGAACACAGTTTGGGAAATGCTTCTAGAGACAGGTTCCAGAAGGACTTGCTAGCTTTATAGCTAATTATGGACTTAAACAGACTATGCGTTTTCTTTGGCAGTTAAAGATAGCATGTCCAGTCATATCCCATTGTCCTGTTGCTAGGGGCACCACATCTGGGGATAAGAGGGAATGCTTCTATTCATGAGTGATGGGAAACAATGCCTCAAGGCTCCTCAACCATGCTTCCTATTTCTTCCAACACAGAAGCAGTGGCCGGACCAAATTTCTAGAATGCAGACATGAATCTGATGTGGTTGGATTTGATTATTGTACTCCATTCTCTTAGTTTACTAAAAGGGATAGCCAAGTAGACTTTAGATCCAGGAAGTTATGACTGCCACTAACATCTCTGTAACTATAGCCACATTACCAATGTCTCTCACTCTCTGTTTTCTGAGATGAGACTGAAAATGCCTGCCTTGCACAGAGACCAGCCAGGGTAAAGCCAGTAAGATGTTCTGCACAGTATAGCAGAAATCTGTACTCAGAGTGTACCTACCATCCTCACATTTCAGCCTGAGAGAGAATAACAAAGATGTGTGAATTAATTTGCAGTTTAATCAAAGAGATTAAAATTTGCAGTTTAATCAATTTCCTTTAAATTGAGAGTTTGCATGATATATACATACTTTTTAATTAACTTTAAAAGTTTGGTGTTTTTTTTTTTTCTTTTGAATAACCCTGTTAGAGAGCAGAGGTAAGAAGACTTGAGGTCCACAAGATTGTCATTATTTATCAGTACTGCTAATGCCAGAGAGCACACCTTCCTTCCTGTCTCAGGGTCTTGTGGCATGCTGCTTTTATAACAAAATCAGTAGAACTTTGTAGAAAGAATAGGTTTCAGATTCATAAGCAGGATTATTTTTAAACTCTTCAGCTATGTGGTTTTGCTTGTTTCTACAATATGTTCCTTTAAAGAAACATGTGCTCTGGGGCCTTTTGGTTTATCAAAGTTAGCCTGACTTCATCTCCCTGGACCCAGAGCCACGTACACATCAACATTGTAGGAAACATCTATATCCTGTGGCCGGTAGTCCGTGTGTAGCCAAGCATAGAGAGTTAAGAATGTGTCTCCACTTACAGCTTTAGACATTGTGGGAGTGTTGTGTGATAGGGGAGGGGCTTATGTGTGGTCCAGGACTTGAGGTTTGCAGATGATGATGTTGCATTGCAACAACAAAAGGCTGTACATATCTGAAAGCATCTTGTGCTGTTAATTCCCACCCAATCCTCTCGATATTAGGTGTGTGGATCTGTGGGAGCTGAGAGTGTGGCCTGAAGGAATCATGGTGAACACACTTTCCTAGAGATTAGTTCTCAGTTTTCTCCATTGAAGGGATGGGTCAAATCAAACTGCCACCTAATTAAACAAACAGATCTCTCATATAGGCCTAAGTGCCAAGCTCCTGGTACCGAGGTGCATGGGCTTGAATCCTGAATCTGCCCCCTTACAGGTGAAATAGAAAGAACATTGGCCTCAGGGGCCCTTTCTGTGTCCATCTGTCTCAGAGTAGTGGTTCTCTGCTTAACAGTGGGGCCATTTCAGGTCCTGCCTACCACCACGCTATATGACACTGAGAGGGGGAATTCAGAAAACTTCAAGGGGAGGGCTTTGGCAAAAGAGTAGCCAGAGACATTTTCTTTTCAGAGATGAAGGTCCCAGATCCTTTTTGTGGACTTAGTTGTTTTAGAACCTGACTCCCAACACAAGATCCACAAAAGCTTCCTCACATGCTTTTATCCAGCTCAGAGCTGACATTGTATACCTCTTCCAGCTGTGCCCTGTTGTTTAGCCAGTGTCCCTCATGTAGGGCTTCCTGGTATACTGCAAAGCTGCCACACCGCTTCCAAATTGCAATGAGAGGACTTCTTCTCATGATGTTGGGTTGGTGCAAAAATGAAAATTATTTAGACATTTTTTCTTTTTAATTAAAGAAAAGTTCAGTTATGATTTTGTTCTGTTTTTATTTGATCATTTATTTTGTTTTTCCTGAAAACAAAAAGAGTCCTGGTTAGATGTGAATGCTATCACAGCTGAGGCAAAGTGATGGGTGTGGAAGAGTTGGCGAGAAAGACACAAACGGCATTTGAAAGAGCCTCTATTTTTATTTCTAACTTTCACTTTCTGTGTTGGGAAGGAAGGTATGGCTATAGAGCATGCACTGTGCTGCGTGTTTCACCTGCAGTTTGCAGCTGCATTCTCCAGCCTTGATTTAGATGCTGTGGTCACATACAGGAACAGTGTCACTGAGATCTCAAGCTTCTTGACCGAGTCCCGGAACTAGCAAATCTTTGAACTTGGCTTGAACTCAGATCTTCCCAACCCCAGAGCTCTCTAGTGAAGGCTGATGGAGATGGATGGTTAAGTAGGGGATGGCTGGATGATAGGAGGAGGCCCAAGGGTCATAACTGAAGTGGTTCAGGGATGTCTAGCTGTAGCACACATGGGACAATGGAAGTATCCCAAAGGAGACATTTTGCCATTGAATGAATGTAAATTAAGGCTGCTGGGCTCCACTGAGGGGCATTTCTTAAGAGAGGATCCCTCCAAAAATGCATTAAGAAAACCACAAGAAACTTTTAAGGCCTCCGAGCCCTTTCTAGTGCTTACTAGTAAGTTTGTGTTGACCCTCATCCCACAAAAGACCAGAAAAATGCCCCATGTGATGTAATTTCCTGATAGTTGGTATTCTCACTTCCAAGTATGTAGCCTCTCTTCTTTTGGAATGTTGTCCCCTTTGAGCTTTTTCCCATTTGACTCCATGTGAAGTCTTGTACTTAAAACTGGAGTGTCTTCAACATGCCTATTTTGAAACGTCTGCTAAACAGCACTGCCCTTCCGTCAACAGGGAACTGCCTTTACAGAAGGGAGACATTGTTTATATCTACAAACAGATTGATCAGAACTGGTATGAAGGCGAACACCATGGCCGGGTGGGAATCTTCCCACGCACCTACATCGAGGTACCACAACCCGTGGCTCCAACTTTTTCTGGAAAAGCCCAGCAGGCCTAAAACGCCATTTTCTAACCCTGTCCTTTGTGTTTTCATCCCTTCTGTCCCTCTCCTTGCCCTTCTCTTTTGCTTTCTTTCCTTTCTCAGCTTCTTCCCCCAGCTGAGAAGGCTCAGCCCAGGAAGTTGGCGCCCGTGCAGGTTTTGGAATATGGAGAAGCAATTGCAAAGTTTAACTTCAATGGTGATACACAAGTAGAAATGTCTTTCCGAAAGGTAAGCCGCACATCTCATCCTGGCTTTGGGGCTTTTGAATGGTGCTGTAATCTGGGGGATGTGATGTTGCTATAACTACTAATCTATATCCTTAAAGGACACAGTGGATTGATGAGAAATTGCAATAAGGCAAACCAGAGGCTTTTCTGAGATGAGATTTTATTTATTCTATGTGTATGTGTATCATGTGCATGTAGTGCCTGTGAAGGCCAGTCTGATTGTGAGCCACCATGTGGGTTCTGAAAAAGCAAACCCAGATCCTCTGGAGGAGCAGCCAGTGCTCTTAACTGCTGAGCTGTCTCTCCATTCCTTAATATATATTTTTTTAATTAAATGTACAACTCAGAGTTTAACCACACTGAGTTCACCAATCAAAACCAGTATTTATGGCATCTTAAATATATATTAACTGTATTCAACCAGCATTCAGTGACTAGCAGTGTGCCAGTAACTTGATTTAGGTTTATAATATATCCATAAACCAAGTGGGAAAACAAGGCCATTGGTAACAGGAGGAATTTCAAAGGCTCTGAAACCAAAAGTCAGTTATCAGATGTGCAGCTAAATACTTGATCTAAGCCTCCACTACTTCATCAAAAATCATGGAGAGAGAAGCCTCTCCCCCCCCCCCGGGTGGGGGGTTATGAGAGACCTGAATGAAGCAAGGTGACTTGGGCCAGGCCAGTGCTCAGTCCACAGGCGGGAACAGTGCTGCCCCCACTGTTCTTGCCACCGAGGAGCTTAGCATAAGGTGACCACAAGGACCCTGTGGGTGGTGGAATGGGGGAGGGTTTCTTCGTCCCACTGACTTGGACATTCTCTACATGCCATGATTCTCCAGCTTGCTGAAGTTGTTAGAATTGCCTTGGAAAAAGATAAGCAACCTTATACAAAGAAGGAACTAGACATTTCCTAATTGCCCATTGACAGGGAATCCATGATTAAATTGTTATATATGTAGAGACTACCAAGAGTAGTCAATTAGGTTTTTATAACAAATGGAGAATTATGTAAGGCTCTGTTCCATATACCTGTAATCCCCATGCTGGGAGGCAGAGGCAGGAGGATAATGAGTTCAAGGGCATCCTGGCTACATAGCTAGATTGTGTGTGTGTGTGTGTGTGTGTGTGTGTGTGTGTGTGTGTGTGTTTTCCATGATGAACATAGTGCACTCTTTATCAAGTGTATAGAGTGAGGGTGCAGAGGCTTACCTGGTAAAGTACTCACCATACAAACTTTAAGACTTGAGTTCAATCTTTAGAACTATGTAAGTACAGACTTATCCTCTGACCTCCACACAGGTGCTGTTGCACAGATGTCCTCTCACAATAATAATAATGATAATACAATAATAATGATAATGACACAATAATAATAATGATAAATGAAATTTGAAAAATAAAAAGCATGTGTCAAAATTAAAATATGGTACATACTCTGTTCCAGAGAGGAAAACAGGGCAAGTCTAATTCATACACATATAAGCAAATTAGCACAATAGGGGGCAGTTGTTTTCTGCTCTGTGTTTATTTTTATGCTAACTCTTCTGTAGCATTAAAAATAATGTAAAGAATATATATAAAAGAATATGGAGAACCCTCTGAGGGTCAGGTGAGATGGGAAAAGGCACTACCTGCCAAGATTGAGGACCCGGCTCCAGCAAGTTGTCCTCTGACCTTCACCTGCATGTTGTGCCACTACCGCTCTCCAACTACGTATACAAAATTATATATATATATATATATAAAATATGAGATATAATTTTATATTAATTTATATATGTAGATATACACACACATATATAAATGGGTGTTTGTATGTGTATGAGAGATATAACCTGAGCTGGGTTTGATGGCCCATACCTGTAGTCCTAGCACTCAGAAGATTACATTAAGAAGACTGCTGTGGAGCTGGGCACCAAGGCACACGCTTGTAATCCCAGCACTCTGGGAGGCAGAGGCAGGTGGATCTCTGTGAGTTCTAAGCCAGCCTGGTCTACAAAGTGAGTTCAGAACAGCCAAGGCTACACAAAGAAACCCTGTTTCAAAAAATAAAAACAAATAAAAAAAGAAGACTGTTATGAGTTGAAGGCCAGCCTGGGTTACATAAGTGAGTGTGGGCCCTGTCTCAAAAAAAAAAAAAAAAAAAAAAAAAGGCTATAGAAGTGGTTCAAGTACTTGCTGTTCTTGCAGAGGATACAGGTTCTATTCTCAGCACCCACATGGTGGCTCACAACTGTCCATACTTCCAGCTCCACATACTCTCTCTGACCTCCACAGGCACCAGGCAAGCTCATGATATGCTTACTTTACATGCAGACAAAATGTTCATGCAAATACAGTTAGTTTAGAATAATATAATACTAAAAGAACAACTGAAAACATCACCCTGTAGAGCCTTTCAGGTGAAGGCTAGCTGTGTGACTGCTCTGTTTTAAAGGAGTCTAAGATACTTCAGTTGCTTTCTGTGCGTGAATCTGAGCTCTTTACTGAAATGCTTAACTTATTGGTTAAGAAAGCTCTACTGTGTTCGCATCCCCAGCCCAGTAAGGACTCCATCCAAGGCCATTAGAGATGGTTCTCCTGAGCATACAGTGTGGTGAAGGAGTCAGGACAGTGCAGGATGCAGGCAGGAACCTCAGATAGGCTGCAGTGTGGTGCTTCAAGGGCTCTTGCTTGGTTGTGTCTTACAGGGGGAGAGGATCACGTTGCTCCGACAGGTGGATGAGAACTGGTACGAAGGCAGGATTCCTGGAACATCCCGCCAAGGCATCTTCCCCATCACCTATGTAGATGTGCTTAAGAGGCCATTAGTGAAAAACCCTGTGGATTACATCGACCTGCCTTATTCTTCTTCCCCAAGCCGCAGTGCCTCTGCGAGCCCACAGGTATTTAAGCTTCGATTCTCAGCTTGGAGTTTTCATCCTCAGCTGTGTCAATGACACACAGCCCTTCCTGGGGTGGCTCTCTGATGCTCTGATTAAGAATTGCCTACAGCAGGGCAGGCTGGGGGTTATTTTTATACATGTCCGTAGTATTTTCCTAACACTCTAAAATATCTGAAGGAAAGGAAGAGTTTGGGATAATTTATATAGGGATAAGGTGAGAGGAAAGAAAAACAAGTGAAATTATCAGTTTGTGCATCCCTGTGAAACTGGTGGTGTGGAAGCCGCCCCTGTGTGGCCCAGCATGTGTCTCTTTGCAATATTGTCCATCAAGATTGGTTTACAGGTGACTGTGCCTGGAAGACAATTTTGAGTTCTCATCCTTAGGCATGGAGGCCAGATTCAGAGTGCTTTTGCAAACATTCACTGTACCCAAGTTAGAAAAGAAACTTAGCTGTGTCACTCTCTACCGGGTCAAAAGGGAGTCATTTATAGGCATAGTAACGTGTTTGCTTTTCTGGACATCAGTCGGCATAACTGTTTAAAATGTTACTCCAAAAACACTTTCCCAAAGCCCACAAAAGAAGTGTGGCAGGGTGGCATCCTATGGAATGAAATTTGCGGAGGATGGCCGGAAGACTGTAGGACTTGGTGGTGCTGACAGGGTGCGTCTTTTCTCCTGTCCTCCATCATTTCCTTCCCTCCGCATGCTGGCCACTGACACAGCAGAGCATGTTTTGGCATAAGGCATTTGATGGGCTTTCCTGAACAGTGAGAACCACATTCTACCATCTCACCTGAGAGGCTGTGAGACTGGACCGGGCACTTTGCTCCATAAGAGCATGGGAAATTTTCATCTGACTGTAGCCAAGTGACCACACAATTCATGCTTCTGTGTGGAGGACTCTGCAGGGCTGAAGGAAGGGCCTGGACAGAGGCTGTCCATCTAACCCTACAGTTCTGGGTCAGGGCTGTGGTTGCAGAAATGGTTTAGTTTCTGGGGTGGGGCAACTCCTTTGTTTTCCTTTGAAACGTGACTCTTGCAAAGCAGACCAGCACTACCCACAACTGTCTGATGGGTGCCTCTCCCATCTCCATGCCACCGCATCTCCTCTTTCCACCCTGCCTGCACACACTCGTGTATGCACTCAGACACTTTGCAGTTTCTCTCCCAGGCTCACCTGGTGATTTCTATTCTGGACACCAGAGTGTCCTGCTCACCCTCCCTATTCCATTCTTCTCCATGCCCCTTGTGGTTATTTTTCTTCTTTCTCCTTTATGCTGACACTTTTATCTTTGCTTCTTTCTTTTGTTTTCTTCTCTCTCCTTTTCTTTTTAAGTGTACTAGTCACAGCAAGTTCATCATGCCAGCCCCTTCATCTCTACCCCACCCCCACCGAGCCCTGTCCCCTGAGATGCACGCCATCACCTCCGAGTGGATCTCGCTGACTGTTGGGGTCCCAGGCAGGCGTTCTCTGGCCATGACACCGCCTTTGCCTCCTCTGCCTGAGGCCTCTATCTATGACACGGACCACTTGGCCTTGTCAGCGAGGGCCCGTTCCTCCTTGCCACTCAGCCTCCCCTATTCGAGTCGGTCAGATCACTCTACCCTGCGCTCAGTGGTTTCCCCACTGGCCCTGCCTCCACCCCACAAAGCCTACTCACTGGCACCCAGTGCCCAGGCGCCTCTTCACGTCAATGGAGATGGTGGTATTCACATTCGCCAAGATGGCTTCTCCCAGCCACCACTTGGGAACTCTGATAGGGTCATCTCAGAGCTTAGTGATGCCTTTAGCAGCCAGAGCAAGAGACAGCCCTGGCGAGAAGATGGACCATATGAGAGGAAAGCAGAGAGCGAGGCAGGTGAGAGATGCCCTGGTGGACTCAAGATCTCTAAGAAGAGCTGCTTGAAGCCTTCAGACGTGGTCAGGTGCCTGAGTTCTGAGCAGAGACTGTCAGAGTTCCACACTCCTGAGGACAGCCAGTCCTGCAAGCCTCTGAGTAGCCCTTTCCCAGCGTGGGAAGCTGGGCCACCAGAGCTTCACAGAGGTGTCGGGGCTGACAGGAAGGCTGCTCAGAGTGGTGTGAGCCAGGTAGGCCTGAAGCATGACTGGTGGTGCCTTGGCCTCCTGCTTGGCATGGTGGGCCAGACCAGATGTCTCAACCCTTGGTCTATTAACTGAGGCCAAGTGGGTGCCTGTGAGATCTGCTTGCTTGCCTTGGAAACAAAGGGATGACGAAGAGGGAATGGAGGGGATGTAGACGAGGATATCGACCTGGGGATAGGATAGTTCAGGGAAACGTATTCTACCCTCTTGAGATGATTTGAAAGTATTTATCCGCTGACACCTGCTACCCTGGTACAAAAGCCCATGAGCAGGAGAGCCTTCCTTGTGTTCCATCAGTGTCCTGGAGATTGCCCTTGGTTTGCTTTGACTAACACAGCTGAGAACACCACGCTTTGGTGTGATGTGGCTTTCCTGTAAGATGCACTGTTTCCATAACTCATGGTGCTCAGTTTTGTCAGGTCTTTGTCTTGTCTCGTGTTTGTGTGGGACCAAAGGACCATGTTCACAAACATGAGCATGTTTGTGAGCAGAGACATTTTGGTTCTTTGGGGGAGGTTCTTTGCGAGGATGCAGGGGCTTCTGATGTGCTGGGCGTCATGGCGTGGGGTCCTGGGTTTTGAGTGATGGCTCTTTGCTCTAAGTGAATGACAAAGATATCAGCATACAAACCAGGTGGACTTAGGGCATTTTGAAGGGGCACTAATTTGATAACTAGACAGATTATTATTCAGTTTTGCTTGTGTTATTTAGTACCCAGAAAGTTAAAGACTTTGGGCAACTGGTTCCATAGTAACCACATTTGAGTACCAACTCCATTTGACTACTGTGATGGGAATTATTTACCCTCTCGGAGACTCAGTTTCTGACTTTTGAAATGAAGATAACCGTCCTCATAGCACAGTCCAGAAAATTCCTTGAAATAAGTCGGGCGGGTGTTGGGCACATGCACTTTGTAAAGGGAAGAGAGAACTGCCATCTTGGGTGATCTCAAACTGCCTCTAGGACCAGAGATGTTGTAGAGCCTCGATAGAATCAAGAGCTTTCTTGAAGCCATCTCTAAGCAGAGTATCAGTGCACTGTGCTGTTTCTCCTTGTAGCTCTGTTTGGTTTTTTGAGTATTAATTCAAAGTGCTGCTGGTACTGGTCTGTGGGCAGGGTCCAGGGGTTGTTAAGTCCCGTTCTTGAGGAGCCCCTATCCAGTGACAGAGGCAGACACAGTTGAGTCACCAGTAACAGGAGCACAGAAGCACGAGACATAGCACTCTGCCCCTTCATAGGCCAGTGTGTCTGGTGTGGAGATCACCCAGGGTGATCAAGTGTGTGGTAGTTCCTGTGGAATTAGGCTTAGACTACAGAAAGCTAGCAAGCAGTACACCCTGCTCCTAAGCCCTAGTTACTCGTGTATAAAGTAGGGGTACAAACAAATAGTCCACCCATTTCTGGAAGGGCTATTGTGATGATTAATGAAATAGTGGTTATCAGGAGGATCTTAGCATATGGGCAGTCTCTGCTCTGACTGCTGTACATGGTTGCTCCATCTCCTAGTAGGAGGGCTCTGGGACAGATACTGCTGAACTGTGTGCTCTAAAGAAAAGTGTCTGATTAAGAGGAAAAAAGGAATTAGAGAAGTTGCTGGTTGAAAAGGATGAGATGTCTAACAGTGGAAAGATTCACAGATCAACGTAAGAGTATGTGGAGCACTCCTGATTGCCAGCGGTGAGTCATCACTGCAACCCCCGTCCAGAATCTAGTGTCTACAGGAAGTACGCCCAGTTCTGAAGCACCAGTGAAGTTCAGGGTGCACACTTCCTGCTTCCTACCAAGGACAGGAGTGCAGTAGCTGGCAACATCATAGACTGTTGATTGAAAGGCCAGGCTTGTTGAGGATTGGTTCTCCTTTCTTGGTGATTCTCTGGACACCAGGTGTATCACTTCCTGTTCCCTCCCTTCCTCTTACTTTCCTGGCACAAGCCATTTCCGCCTGGATAGGGGGAGGCCACTGTGTGGTTGGCTGCTTTTGAGATGTAGGGGTGTCTAGAAGGGCAGCTGTAGACATACATTCCTCCCAGACACACATTCACCCTAGGTGGCTCTGGGCTGCGTCCTTTATAAAGGACTCTCTCCTCTTGAGACCTGTGTGGCTGAGAGGCGATCTAAAGATGGAAGGGACTTACTTCACGCTCTGTTCTCTAGTGGCCCTGTCAGAACACGACCTCAGGCTGTGTCACTTGTCTGGGTAAATCCATTCCAGTATGGAGAAACGTGTTAGCCACTCTTCTCCTTGATGAGCTACAAGGTCTACTTGTCCTTTCATGGGGTTGAGGGACTTGGTTGAGCATCTGACCAGTAGACAGAACATTAAGTGAAAAGGCATCCAAGATGTTGCGATCATTTATTCCTTCTAAACGTGTCCGGCAGTGTTCCAAGAGCCCCAGGGAGCCGAGAGGCTCGGACATCACTGCAGACTTTCTTTACCTCTCAGGAAAGTCTTCTCCTGGGCTTGGAAGACTCCCTAGTGAGTTGCTTACTTAGACAACAAGGCAGCCTCATCTTCCAAAGCCTCCCCAGCTTTTGTGCCTGCGTGAGTTTCTGCTTGTCCTTCATGCTCCCTGTAGATGCTACTTTTCCTAGGAAGCCTTCCTTGGCTACCTCCTCAACCCTTGCACAACTAGATGAAGAGCTCTGAGCCTGACCCCAGTGAGCATACTCTCATTCATTTGCTCCTATGCAGGCCTGGTCCCTGTAGAGCTATAATGCCCTATGGTCAGGGACCATAGGGACCTATTTATGGAATGTGCTTGGTAAATATTTCTTGAGTAAAAGAGATTAAAAAAAATAACTGAGCACAACTAGAAGAGTTTATGATATTGACTGTGGAATCATCCCTGTTCACAAGAGGTTATAATGCAGAAGAGAGGCAACATACAATCTATCCTGCAAGTTCAGTATGGGAAGACATAGGAGGAGAAAGGTGATTGCATAGTAGCATTTTTTTTGTGGGCTTAAAGACTAGGGAGTTTTCCCATAGATACAACGGATTGTGATTGATATTCAAAGGTCCAGAAGTGCATACAGAGAACTTTGTGTTCCTGGATTCAACAAGCTTTGAATGAATCTACAGATGGATAGGTCAGAGGGATCTTGCCAGGGGGCCTGGGACCAAAGCCTGGCTGATGCCTCCAGCATCCATCATACCTCTTGAGAGCATGGAAGTCATCTTCCGTGCCTTTCCTTGACCACTGTCAGTCAGTCCCTACTCTGCTGCTCTCCTTCCCCTGAGTCACCTGCCCATGACCCAACATTCCGGATATATGAACTCTTGCGGAAGATGCTTTGATGTGTCAGTCATTTCTGCTGTCAGAATGTTTTCACGTTGGGCTGGCTACTTATGTTTTTAGGTTTGTTTTCTCTGAACAAAAGGGGTAAACCAGTGCCAGGGTCTCTAGGGAACCAAGGAAGAGCATGGTCTCCGGGTTCTAGTTCTGGCTCTGCCGTCAGTCTGCTAAGTGACTGTGTATGAGTCACACCTCCTTCCCGGCAGCTTCCTTGTCCATAAACAAAAGATGCCTATGTGGGAACTGAACTTCCTTTCAGCTTTGGTACTCTGTGATGAGGTGAGGATACCACGTGAATTTATGAGAAGGAACATACAAAATGTTAAGTACGGGCTTTATTATAGACCTGCAGAGCTCCACTATTGAAAGACAAACACTTTGTTTTTACTTGTTTTTTTGAGTGATGACTTTGTTGACTGGACAAAACCACACATTTGTGCACACAAAAACACCCAAGAAATCAGGATTAATTGGCATGTTCGTGGGTTCTGTTTCATATAATTTTGGCTAAGAGCATGTAGAAAAACTAATCTAGAAAGTAAAGGAGATCATGTGAGGAATCTTCATCATTAGCGTCACTGAGTATTGACTGCATCTCCCCAAGGGAGAAGCAGTTTGCTGACCGATATCTGGAGTTATGTATGAGTTCCTGATGTTTGTGAGGAGCCTCACTGAATTTCTAAATGAAACCAGGCATCCCTGTGATCCCAGAACTCAGGAAGTAGAGGCAGGAGGATCAGGAAGAGGAGAGATGCAGAAAGATGTGCTTTGGCAACCACATGGGAACTAAGTCAATCCCCAGAAAGACCAAACAAAGGCAGGGGCCTGGCTGGAGAGTGGAAATCAGAGGTAGAAGGGAAACATGACATGTAACTTGTAAGAACAAAAGGGAAGTTAGAAGCATTAAGATCACGCACACAGAGAAATTTAAGATGTTCAAAGATGGGAAATGTTTTCCTTTGACTCACTCAGAAGGGAAGTCTCTAAGCACACCAGTGTTAACAGTTTGTGGGACGAGGAGAAACACTAGGCACTGTTTTTACAAAATTCCTGCAAGTGTTTTCTCACTGCCTAATGGCCGGAGACCAAGACCAAAAGCCACAGTGCCCACCCCTACTGTGGCTCTAGAAGAAATGGGCTGCATCTGTAAAGATCCAGGTGCCAGCAGCAGAGTCCTTCAGAGGTGACCTCAGCAAGCCCTGCCTTGATTGGCTCAGTGGTTATGAAGTTTCCCTCTGGCAAGGTACCTAAAGGATACAGGAATGAATGCACAGGACTTAGAGTCCAGGAAACAGATGGCCAGATAGACTGCACACTTACCACAGACCGAGTGATTGGAACCCGGCTCAGGCAGGGCTGGACAAAGTGCAGGAAGAGGACAAAAGATAAACAATGCCTTCCCACCTAAGAGGAAAACTTGGTGGCTGGGGATGGGAGGGAAAGGTAGAGGATAGGAAACTTATTTTGCTTGGGTTTTATCAACTGAGGATTTAGGAAACTTGAGGGGGCAGCAAGATGCTTTAGTAGGTAATAAAGGCACATGCCACCGAGCCTGATGAGCTGAGTTCAGTCCCCAGGACCCACATGGTAGAAGGAGAGAATGGCTCTCAACAGTTGCCCTCTTTGACTCATACACCATGGTACATGCGGTGCCCTCACCAATGTATCTTAAATTTTTTTAAAAAAATTAGAAAACATGAGATTTGTGTTTGACACATTAATGCCTCTCTTTATTCTCTTTTGTTATGAAGAAAAAGTGGGAGGTATCCTGGGAATGCCTTCCAGTTCTTCACACCCGAACCACACACCCTCCATCTCCCCCAATACATAGCTGCTGATGTTCCATTGATACCACTACGTCACCTCCAACATTTACAAGAGTGAGCTCTCTGTGTTTGGAGGCTCTATTCTAACAAGTAGAGGACTGCCTCCTTTGAGCCGTGTCATGCACAACCCTATTATTTGTTTTGGAATTTGAAATCTCTGCTCAGAAGACAGTCAATGTCAGAGCTTGTCTGGGAACCTGGGTTGTTCATGGTCCCATTAGAAGGCCAGTGTAGGTTGCCATAATGTGGGGTGGAATCTGAGGAGGCACAGGGTATGACTTAACTAGAGCAATGCCATCTCGGAGACCTGGGGCCAGTGGTGTGCCTGTGGGGATCCAGGCCACACAGCAGCTGGGCGTCTCTCCCACCCACTCCTCCAGGGTTCTCTAGCTTGTGCGCAGTTTATTTTGGACTTTAGCCTTTGGCACACCCCCAGAACTGGAACAGGATGCTTAGTAACTGCAGGAGCACCAGGTGCTTTCTGGGTCCAGAGGGGATTAACAGCTCCAGGGAAGCTAAGGTCAGATTTCCGACAGACGCCAAGCTGAAGACAGACAACAGGGAAGCAGAGCAAGGGACACACACAGCGTCGTTCTCAGGGAGAATGAAAGAGCACCCTGTCTTGCCTGAGTCCAGAGAGAGCAGTTTCTGCTTACGAATGGTGTTGAGGTGAAGGGGGTGCAGTGTGTGTGTGTGCATGTGCTCCATTGAGTGTGTGCAGGCACACGCCTTGCAAGTTGGACTGGTTGCTGTTTTTCCAGGCGCACAGAAAGCTGGAATGTGACTACAGAATCCAAGATGTACGTAGCATGAGCTAATCTCCCTTTATTCTTAGCGCCAGCAGGGTCCTGATGAGGACATGTATCTACTCTTAGGCCTAAGGGAGGGCACTGCCAGCTGAAAGGGAAGCACATATGCAGTTTAACATTTCCTAACAGCCACAGCGAAACAGAGTACATGAGTTAATTTTAGTAACATATACTGTTTGACCCAATGTATTAAAAACTTACTTAATATGCTGTTTTATATTTATTATTCTGAGCCAAGTTTTTGAAAAGCGGTGTCTAGTTTTCAGTCATAGCACATTTCACTTCATACTTGTATCTCATGTGCTCACAGCCACTTGTGGCTGTTGGTGCCTCACAGACAGGGCAGGCCCAGGGGAGGAACTGCAGAACTGGCCTGTGTTAGAAAGCAGGACAGGAAAGGTGAGAACAGTGCTAAAGGGAGAAAATCCTCAGAGGAGAAACAGCCTTCCAAGTGCAGGGCTGGTCCAGGTAATGAGTGTGAATGGTTTCCAACTACACGGAAGCTCCTCCGCCACACATCCACCCCGGTTTATATTCCAGCTATGTGAGCTACTTCACCAAATCTAAACATGGAGAAACGGAATCTGATAATATTTACCTTGACTACTTCCTTCACTTATCCAGTGCTAAGTGGGGAGCCCAGTCCTCCCTCCGTCCCAGGAATGGGCTCTCTCTGGATGTCAGAGCCGAGATGACGATTCTCTTCTGCTTTGGGTATGGCCAGAAACCAGAGGAGCTGCTAACTGAGCCGTTGACAGCCCTCTAGAACTGTTCGTATCAGATGCTATCCTATATGATGCACAGTACTATTTACAGGAGAAAATGCCTCTGAGCATCTAGAGCGATGGTTCTCAACCTGTGGCTCAACAATGACACAGGGGTCATATAGCAGATATCCTGTGTATCAGATATTTACATTATGATTCATAGCAGTAGCAGAATTATGTTATAAAGTGGCTATGAAATAATGTAATGGTTGAGGTCACCACAACACGGGGAGCTGTGTTAAAGGGTTGCAGCATTAGGAAGGTTGAGAATCACTGACCTACAATAAAACATTCAGGAAGAGAAGTCAGAATCTGTGCTTTGGTAGGGTCCTGGGCGACACATTGTTCTTCAGCACCCTGACTAGCTGATGGAGACAATGCCACCATCTCTCAGCCAGCCATTTCTGCCATTGGACAGCACTTCCTTTAGAAAGCTGTTCCTTCTATCAAGTCACAGTCTATCAGTATCCTCCACACGAAGGCACACAGAGTTAGCTTCAATCTTCTGAATGCCCACATAGCAAGAACTTAGAAATATTAATTTCTCTCCTTTGTTAAATGGTAAAGCACAAAGTCACTGCAGCCACCTGACAAAGGCCAGGAGGTCCCAAGAAGTCAAAGAAGCAGCCCTTCAGTTTTGTCTTCTCCTTCTCTACTAACAGAACCATAGTCCAAGGGGGTGGATTTTAGTGATAGAGGCTAGAAAGAGTTTTAGAGAATTTGAAGGAGCTTTTCAAAAATCAAGTGGAGGGGGGTGGGCTGGAGAGATGGCTCAGCAGTTAAGAACACTGAATCAAGGTCTTCCAGAGGACCTTGGCTTTATTCACAGCACCCATGTCATGACTAACAACTACCTCTAACTCCGATTCCAAGGGAAGCTGATGCCCTTTTCTGGCCTCCACAGAGATAGCATGTATAAGGTAAACAGACATATGTACAGGCAAAACACCTGTAAAATAAAATAAAATAAAATAAAATAAAATAAAATAAAATAAAATAAAATAAAATAAAATAAAACTAAAAATCTCAGAACAAACAAAAACATGAAAATGAAACAAACATGAAAACAGCAAGCATAGGAAAGGGATGCCTGGCGTAGCTGTTGTTCTGCTAGCCGTGCTACAGAGTGAAGACATCCACGATGGAGAGGAGCGAGAGGGGTGATGTGGCAGAATTGAAAGAACAGCCAAGCGGTTTACCTCAGCAGCTGTGTGACACTGAGGCCTGCCCCACCCACCTCCGAGCATGTTTTAGCAGAACAGTATGATCGGCACGGCCTGCCTGTCTCCTGGTGCGGGGGGATATAGTCACTGGTGATGATGTCAGCTAGCACAGCTGATAAGGGTAGGTGGAAGGTGGTGCTGTGCTGGGGACAGTGGCATGAGCCAGGAGGCAACTGCACTGCCTGTGTGACCTCACTATCTCTCTGGGCCCCTTTCTCTGAAACAAGTGTGACCTGCACAAAAGATTTCTAAGTGCCCTTCTAAGAGACCGTGACCTTTTGCAGTGATTACACATTATCTCCAAAGGTGAACTTCCAAGTAGTTATTCAAAGAGACTTCCTAGAGCTTAAATCCTCTCTGGAGAAAGTGATTCCAAACTGTCTTCAGCAGATGCTTGACCTCCTCACAGGAGCCCAGCTTTACAGGAAGGTCTGCCTGGCCTCATTGCATGGCCTCAGTTCTGGATTGACCATATGAAGGCTGGTGATGGGTCGTTCCTGTGTCTCTCTCAGGTCATCCTTCCCAGCTTCTAGAAGCAAGCTAGAGCCTCATTTCATACCTCACCAGGCTATGTTGTGTGTAAATTCTTTTGAGGCTTCATCTGTTACCCAGGAATATCTTAGTAGTAGTGTAATTATTCAGTCTTTGTGAGTAACCCGATGTGGTATGGTGATGTTGGCGGGTCCACCATTGGCTCCCCACTGACACAGCAGCCCCTCACTTGAAACATGCTTGCTCAGATGGAAGGGTTCAAGGTGGTATTGGGGGGTGCAGTGGGCAGCAGTCCTGCTCCTACAGGCAGCCCTTCCCTGTGTCTCTCCTGCCAGTCTGAGGACCTTGTGTTGTCCTTCTCACCTCACTGCCGCCACATTTCCCATTTCATTGCTGGATGCTTGCTTCTAACTCTGTACATCTGCATTTTCTCCTGTGCCTCTGCCATGTTGTCATGGAAACTCAGTGGCCACGGGCCGCAAATCTCTGGTGTCATCTGAATGTGGTGGTGTGGTACGTGTATTTGCTCACGCCTTTATTTTGAATCCTTTCCAATGTGACATCTGCTAAAATGTCTCCCTTATGATTTGCTTGGTGATCACAGCCTTCTCATCATTCATTGAGCGCAGGACCTGATCTCACAGAATCTGAAAAGAACTATGTGGTAAGATGCCTGTTGAATTAGACTGTGGCTTTCCTAAAGAGAACCCTTACTGATCGCAGCGTGTAGACCAGGGTAACTCCTGGTAAACATCCCGCTGTGGTTTGAAAGAGCCCACGGCTGATGTAGTAGGGCCAGGGATTCAGCTACCCTCTACGCCTCTAAAGGAGCGGAGGAATTAGAGACAGTTCCACCTGCCTGCAGGTGGGATTGAAGTATGTGGTAGTGCATGACTGGGGATTCATTCTTGCATTTTCTAGCCTGAGATTATTCCAGCTATTACCGTTACTCACTAATTACTGGCTTTTATAAGCTGCTGCCTTTTAAAAAATGGTCATACTAAATGCCAAATTCCTCTGTATCTCACCTGTCTTTCCATGCTTACCTGGATCCCTCCTGCACTCTACTACTGGAATCTTTTTTTTTTTTTTAACCTGGATCTTCAACTCTGTTTTCTCCCTGGACTTACGTGCTTCGTCTGGAATGTTACATCTCTTCCTCTCTTTTTTTTTTTTTTTTGTCCCCACATTGACTGTTTTATGGGGTTTCTGGATATCGCGGGGCCACCTCACAGGAAGCGGTTTGCAATGAGATCATAAACATTGCCGAGAAATCTGTTCATTACTGCAGCACTGTCTCTCATCCCCTTGACTTCCATCACAAGGTATCCCCATCTGACAATAAATCATCTTTAATCATTTCTCAGCAACCTCAAGCCCAGCAGCGAAGAGTCACCCCAGACAGGAGTCAACCTTCACAGGATTTGTAAGTACAGTCTGGGAACTTTGGTTCTTAGGTTGTTGGCAGACTTTCTGCTTTGGAAAATGGCTGTTTGGGTAACTACGTCACAGCTGCTTGTGCAGGGGTGGGCGGTGAGCTAATTGCTCCCCACTTCTTTGGGGATTTCTGGGGAAGGCCATATTTCCTTTTAGCCAGTCAGGACAGGTGGTAGGTAAATAAAAGGGGCCATGGACTACTGGGAGAGTGAGATGAGTAAAGAATTAATGACCGTAAAAAGGGATACGAAAGCTTTGCTTACCAATTTCGGTATTAATGCTATGGAAAAGAGAAAGAAACAAATGTTTCTGATCTGAAATGAATTTTCAGTGTTGCTTCATTCATTCAAAAACTTTATTGGGTACATCCTGTGGTTTATACACGTAGGAGACATTTCTGTTTGTAGAAGAAGAAAAGTGATTTGAACCAAGCTTTGAGAAAAAAAGGCATGGAGTAGGTAGTGTTTGGAAAGCCTGAAGAGGGCTTGTGTGGCCAGCACATGGTTCAAGGAGGCGAGGTTAGAGATGAAAGTTAAGATGGTAGGTTGGGACCAGATTCTAGATTCAGCTGAAATAGGTTTGTATTTTATTCTGCAGGCCCCAGGAAACTTCTGAAGGTTTTTTAAGTGAGGCACATATTTATTGTATCTGTTCTAGGGAGAGAATTCTGGCAGCAGATGGAATGTGGGATCCAGAAACAAGGGACAAAGATGTTGGCTAAGAGAAATGAAGTCAGTCATGGTGGCCCTCCTGGAACAGAGTGACTTTATGTAACCACAGACTATATAAGATTACTAACAGAGAGACGGGGTAAAGTGTAGTAAACAATGAAGGAGGATAAAACAGAGCGGCAAGAACAGGCATAGGTCTAGGGATGCTCACTCTTATAGGGCAGAGCCCATAGCATCTGCCCTGCCATGTTGCTGCCTCTGAGAGACCAGGAAGAGAAAATGAGAAAGGATCACCAGGCATTCTCTCTGGCAACTTGGAAAATGACTGGGACCATGTAACAACAGTGAGTGTTCCATTAGAAAGAGCTGAAGAACCAGTTTGTTGATGCATGGGGTGGCGCGGGGTACTGTAGATCAAGGAACAGTGGGGAAAGGGTAGAATGTTAGAATATTTGCGCCAAAGGAAAAAAATTGAAAGATACAAGTTAGAAGCTGTAAGTAGAGGAAGAGGGTAAACCTATCATGGCTTAGAGAAAGGGGTACTTGCACATCGTAACAGGGATAGGACCAGTAAAGACTGACTCGAGTCTGGAGAAGAGGAGGATTAAGATCTTGTCACAGGAAAGTGGCAGACAGTATATAGAACACTCTGTTGAGAATGGGGTGCCAGAACCAGCAGAGGAACTCATCTGCAGAGTTTCTGATCTACAGGGGACCAGTAGAGGTCAGTGGGACCAAGGCCACAAAGGTGTATATCAACACCAGTCTGTCTCCACCATTTGCATACAGACAGCAATTCTCTTCCAGAACATGGTGGTGGAAATTAAGGGACAGGCAGTTTCAGATGCTGGCGGTTTAAGATGAGGACATGTGTTACACAGTAAGCTGTAGGAACCCAAGTGAGGAGATCAGAAACATGAGGAAGGGTGTTCACTTAGCAACTCAAAATCTATCTTCGTCTCCTAATTCCACATTAGAGTCCTTCCCTCTGGCAGCCTGGTCCTTCCACCAAAATCAGTGAAAGCAGCTGTTCTGTACTTGGCACTCAACACAAGCCTGTTGGTGCTGGAAGCCAACGCTACATGCTTGTGTCTAGTCCCTCTTGTTCCACGGTGGAATTCACCAACATTACTGGAAATGGCATTTGATTGGCTCATTCACAAAATTCTGGTGCTACTGTGGTGTTTTAAAATGGTGAAAATTCTGAATTGTGGCATGGGTGCATACCAAAAGCACTTGGTAAGGGAATGAATGAAAACAAAGCTCTCCCTTGATGCTGAAGCTGATGTCAGCTTCACAATAAGCTTCACTGTTATCAGAACACAGAACAACACAAAGCAGATGTCCTAGGTTAAAGAGAAAGTCAATAAAACCTTATCTCCAAATTTCATTGGGGTGGAGCAGAAACAGAAAGCTTTCGTGGGTCTTCAGAAAAGGAGCCCCACACTTTGAAACACTCAAGATAGTTTCATTAAACAGAGGGACAATGTGCCATATTATTATTAATTATCGTTTTATTTTTTAATATTTTTTATTAACTTATTCTTTCATATACTACATTCCAACCTCAGTTTCTCCTCCCCCCTCTTCCTCCCCCTCCCCATCCACTGCTCCTCTGTTTCTCTTCAGAAAAGGGCAGGTCTCCCAGGGATATCAACCAAACATGGAATATCAAGTTGCAATAAAGACTAGACACCTCCCCTTCCTGGATGAGGCAACCCAGTAGGAGGGCAAGGGTCACAAAAGCAGGCAAAAGTGTCAGAAACAGCTCTCACTCCTTCTGTTAGAAGTCCCAAAAACACTGAGCTACACAACCATAACATGGAGAAGACCTAGGTCAGACCGACACACACACTCCCAGATTGTCAGTTCAGTCTCAGTGAGCACCTATGAGTCCCGGTTTGTTGATTCTGTAAGTTTTCTTGTGGTGTCCATGACGTGACCCTTCTAGGTTTTATTCTGTAAACCAGGAATTTATTATGAAGCACAGAGCGGCCATGGACTCAATGACAGTCTTCCTGTCCAGCCTCCTACATGCTAAGATCACAAACATGAATCATTCCACTTGGCTGGGAATGTACTTTTTTATACATTTTCTGCCTATGTATGTCTGTCAACTGTTTTTACAAATGCCTTTTGTTCTCTAATGTAAATGGCCAGAATTTTATGATCCTGGAACTAAATAGCTGCTGATTATTCTTAATAATCTACCGATATTACCCTGTTATTTAAAAGGGTGTGGTTGATTTTAAAGGCAGTAAAGTAAAGGTGAGGGAGGGGGCGTGGACAATAAAGGTCTGCCATAGTAATGAAGAAAACTAAATAATAAGGGTAATCATTACTTGATTGTCAGGAATTCCTCACCTCTTAAATGATCAGTCTTATTTGATTTAAAGCATTTCTCCAAATGCTAAACTCCTAGAGAAATAGTCAATAAAATGTTTTTGTCATTAAGTGGGAAACATGTAAATGTTGGGTTCAGAGTGTTGGGATTTGTAAATGGTTATTAAATCCTGTCAGCAACTGAGCCACTCACTGGTCCTTTTTCTGATTTGTAGATGTAGCTACCAAGCATTATATAGTTATGTGCCGCAGAATGATGATGAGTTGGAACTCCGAGATGGAGATATTGTTGATGTCATGGAAAAATGTGATGATGGATGGTTTGTTGGTAAGAATCCCATTATGCTTTCTTCCTAGTGGTGTATTGAAGGAAGGAATGATGAGACATGTAGAAAGCAATCTTCTTTGTATAGAAAGCAATCTACCAGCCCCTGCAGAAATGCTAGGCCTCTCATTCTCAAGGTAGTATGAATGTTTCTGAGTAGAACCTAAAGCCCAGATATGCCAGTGTCTATCACACAAACAGCAGATATCAAATTCATCACTACTATTAATTGGGTTCTGTTTATATTTCTGTTGTGTATGTCTTTAATATTTACAAATTTCTTTTTTTAAAGCCCTGAAGAAACAACACACAAGAGCCAGGCAGTGGTGGCACACTCCTTTTATCCTAGCACTTGGGAGGCAGAAGCAGGCAGATCTGAGTTCAAGGCCAGCCTGGTCCACAGAGTGAGTTCTAGGATAGCCAGGGCTCCAAAGAGAAACCCTGTCTCAAAAAACCACGGAAGGAAGGAAGGAAGGAAGGAAGGAAGGAAGGAAGGAAGGAAGGAAGGAAGGAAGGAAGGAAGGAAGGAAGGGGAGAAAGAGAGAGAGAGAAAGAGAGAAAGAAAAAGAATATTTAATGAAGACCGGGTCTCCATCATGGAGTTCAAACACATGTGTGGATGTTTCTAAGACCCTTTTATTTATTTTAGGCTTCTGATAACTTGAAGAAAAGCAACCAACTCAAATAATGTAGCAAAGGAGAGTTTGGCATAAGGCTCAGTGGTAGAACATTTGTTTAAAATATGAGGCCTAGGTTTGTTCATGAGTACCATAAATCTCACACACACACACACACACACACACACACACACACACACACACACAC